GGAGTTCCACGTCACGGTCGCCGTCGACGACGTCGCCGCCGCCTCCGAGCGTCGGAGCTGAACCTCGTTCAGGTCGACGTCGCTTCAAGCGACTCGGAGTCCAGGGCCCGGGCCCCTCCAACACGGCCGGTGGAAGAGTGTTATCACGTCTTCGATGGCAAGACCTGTTTACTCGTCAAGGCATCTGGTGTCAATTTGGAGCCGTTGCCAGAAATTGCAGAGATACTGAACCTCGAGAAAATGACGGCCGAGTCTTTCCTGGCCAACCTCAAAGCTGAGGAGATTGCCGAGATGGTGCTCATAAGACCAGAGGCCACTCGGGGGGGGGAGTTGTTCTCCTCCTCTGTCTTCAACGAGAGTGTCCTAGAAACGCTGAGCAAGCAGCGTCAGACGAGTTTGGGTTCTGAGATCCTTAAGAACCCCAATGGTCCACTGTTTCCTTTGTTGACGGTGTACGCGGACGTGGTGAACAAACACCCACCGACCCAAGTCCCGCCGGATCGAGCCGTGCGGCATGAGATCGATCTTGTACCTGGCACAACGTACTGTGCCACGAGACAATGGCCTCTTCCACGCGAACAGTGCGAGGTCATCGATGTCTTCTTCGCTGCGAAAGCGAAGGCAGGCATGGTGCGGGAGTCAAAGTCCTTGCACCGACGAAAACCTTTCTACGCTCGGAAGCCGAACGACAAGTGGCGTCTAGCTCACGCTTATAACAAGCTAAACAACGCGACGGTGCCGGCCCAGACAACAATCCCACGAAAGGATGTGTTGTTGAACAACATGGCCGGAAGCGTACCGTACAGTGCGCTAGATTTGGCAGACGGATTTACCAGTTCTTGATGCGTGCGATCCCAAGTGGCATGCTTTGGGAGTGACTCGTCAGGCCGCAGGGTTTGTCTAACGCCACGGCGACATTTAACCCCCTGGTGATGCAACTGTTCTGGTCATTACGCACCTTCGTACAGACGTACTTCGACGACATCTTCGTCCATAGCCGTGCCGAGGGAGGCCAGACGGACAAAGAGGTGCATTTGGGGCACCTCCGTCGAGTGTTGGACGTGATGCGAGCGGACAGGCTCTACGCCAACATCGACAAGTGCCTCTTCGTGTCACCAGAGATCTAGGTTCTCGGTTGCTTCGTCAGCAACGAGGGCGTTCGAGTTGACCCAGACAAGGTCAAGGCCATTGCAGCATGGCCAATGCCTCGATCCCAGAAGGATCTTAGAAAGTGGCTGGGCTTGGCCAACTACCTTCACAAGTACGGTGTAGGGTATGCGGGCTTCGCTGAACCCTTGTCGGGCCTCCTTCAGAGGACGTCGACTGGCACTGGGAGCAAGAGCAGCAGGATGCGTTTGACAGCATCAAGGCCAGTCTACAAGAGGCTCCTGTACTGCCCTTTTGGACGAGACGAGCCCATTCAGCGTCGTTTGCGATGCCTCCGACTATGCAATCGGTTGTGCATTGCTGCAGGCCGACGTGGCTGGACTCGAACGAGGCATCATTCCAGTCCAGGCAGATCAAAGCCGCTGAACGGAAGTACTCTGTCCATGACAAGGAGCTCCTGGCAATGAAGTACGCCCTTGTGAAGTTCCTGGTTCATCTTCTGGGCTCAAGGACCTTTGTGATCTGCACAGACCACGCATCCTTAAGGACGGCGACGAATTCGCCTCACCTCTCCCAACGGGCTGTCCTTCTTCGCGGAGTACAACTTCCGCGTTGATTACAAGCCGGGCAAGCTCAACGTGCTTGCGGACGCCCTCTCTGAACGAACGCGAAGTCCGACTGGCTTTCGTCGAGACAGCGTTCCTGGCTCCACGATATGAGTTGAAGAATGGTCTCCTCTATTACCGGGTGGAACCTAATGAACCTCCTCGGGTGGTCGTACCCAACGACGAAAATCTAAAGCTCGACATACTCGCGGAGGCGTACGATGCGCCCTCCTGCGGCCACTTGGGTTGTGAGAAGACCTTCCTGTCGGTCGCTCAGGCCTTCTCATTGACCCACATGTACAAGTGAGTCGACCGGTACGTGAGGACATGCGAAACATGTCAGCGGGTTAAACCCGCAGGGAACTCTTCGGCTCCTTTACAGAGCCTGCCCGTTCCGACTGACTGTTGGAAGTCGATGAGTCTTGACTTCATCTTTGGGCTTTCCCGCCGACGGACACGGCAACACCGAGATTTTGGTGCTCGTGTATCGGCGGAGCAAGGTGGTACATTTTTCAGCAGTACCCGTTACCGTCACAGGCGAACAGACCGCGAGGTTGTTCGTCGATAGCGTGTTCCGCTATCACAGTCTCCCGGAGACGTTTGTCTCGGACCGAGACCCGCGGTTCACGGCTGCGTTTTGGACACGCTGTTTCCTTTACTCGGAACTCGTCTGCAGATGTCCACTGCGGACCATCCGCAGACCGAGCGCGTCAATCGAGTGCTCGAGGACACTCTGCGCAGTGTGTGTGCGGAAGCATCCCGTATGTGGTCGACGAGCTTCCAATTGTTGAGTTTGCGCTCAACAACGCGGTGCGCGCGTCCACGGGGCTCACGCCGTTCTACTTGAGCGGCTTTTGTCACCCCAGATTGCCTCTCACTCTTCGAGGAGACGCTGCCTCCTCTATTCTAAGTGGGGGAGAGGCCCGGAAATCTCTCTCCTCCCAGGTCTCGGATGTGAGACCAGTTTCGCTGCGGAAACAAGTGGAGTACGTTGTGGATACTAAGATGAGCGTGATCAGCAGGGTCCGCGATGTCATGGCAGCGGCCCAGGACAACAGAAGAAGTACTCTGACAAACATGGAAAAAGGCACTTAACTGTGTTTAAGGTGGGTATTAGACACGAGAAACCTACCATTAGACACTGTAAGATCTGTCAACAGCAACAATCTGAAGCCAGTTTCATTGGACCGTTCGCAGTCATGGCCAGGCATGGTGCGTCGTACATCATCGATCTGCCTAAGTAAATGACGACGCACCCGACGTTCTACGTTGGATGTCTTAAACGGTACCATGATCCGCAAGGGGTTGCTGACTCGCAGACCCACCTTGGTCCAACTCCTTGAAGAAAGGTCCGGCCACAGATGATGACGAGGGCGCCGGGGCAGGCACCCAAGCCTCGAGCTGAACAGCAAGGGTGCGGTCAAAACCGTACGCCAGAGGGCCCCCGTACGAACGGACCACAGAGCCATACGCCGAGTACGTCGAGTACGTCGGGTACGCACCATACGCGTACGGCTGGGAGTGTGCCGAATGCGGCTACCGACGTGGCAGCAGAGCGTCAACACGCCGAATCATGCTGAAGGCCTCGTCGAGATCGGACGAAGAGGCCCGGCGGTTCACCTGCAGATCCTCCCGCTCCAACAGGTCTAGGCGGTCCGCAAGAAGAGCGAGTACGCCCTGATTCCCGGTCTGGGCGGCAGCATCCTCGCTAGCCCCAATGCCAAGCGCAATCTCAAGCCCGAGGATGCGTTGACGGAGGCGGTCGACCTCAGAGCCCTGTGCCGGACCCGCAGGCGGAACACTTGGACAAGTAGCGCTCCGGAGGCGCCTGGTACTCGTACTCGTACGAGGGCACCTCCGCCCTTGCTCGACCAGAACGGAGAGCCCACTACCACGTGGAGCGGATTTTCACTAGGAGCGACAGCTATTCGTGAAGTGAAGGGGTATGCCCACTCCGGATAGACTGCCCAAAGGCTGCCGCAATCTGGGAACAGAAGCGGCTGCAGCTTCGTAAGTAGTCCGGAGCTTCTTGCTTGAATGGGGTACGGACGTTGACGACACGCTGCACCCGCGCCAATCGCGAGCGCTAGAAGCCGCGCGCTTCAGAATGTCCCTTGGTAGCATGCGCTTGCTGACCAAGTGCGCGAGCCGGACACGAAGATCACGCTGGTCCAGAATGCGGGACAGCAGCTGATTTTCATGGATTCCCCGAAACTCCGAGGGTGAGTACTTGAGAGACTTAACCCACGTCCAGAACATGTCCTCACACGAGTTCCAGTTAAGACAGCTCTCGAGAAGAAACCAGGGGTAGCCCAGAGAGGATAGAGACCACCCCGGTTCTCGAGCTTCTTACGACAAGTCGTGCAGTCCTTCAAAGGGATTCGGTGCGGCGCGAAAAGCACACACCGACCGCTTTCAAGTTGTCGGCGAACAACTACTCCTTCTGGATAAGGGCACGTTCATAAATGACCTTCGAAGTGTGGCCACCGACAAGGCCATGAGGTTTGTGCTCGGTATAGGTTTTACACTATTAATAAATATAGCAAGATAATGAAGGTATCACTGACGATGTGTGCTTAGCGTCATGGGTGAGCGGCGCTTGGTCATATTGAGAGTGCTGTGGTGTTTCGGGTCGTTGGCGATGGTGTAATGGTATTTGCAACACAGGTGTTCTGACCAATGACTTAGAGGTCGCGACGGTTCTGAACTCGTCTTGCTCGAATTACGTTTTTAAACACGCAAAAAGATCGATTAACAGGAAGTCGATGGGATTTGCTTCGAAATCCATCTGTCGTAGCTCGATTTATTGACCTCTCTACCTAGATCGATCTGCCTTTTTTTGGAGCTAAATATATAAAACGAGTATTTTTCACAATATGTAGATGATAAAGCTACCTAATTGAAAAAGATATGAAACAATAGATAATCATTTACCCCCCCCAATCCATTTTTCGGAATTTACCAAGATTTTTCACATGTTGTATGTTTCAGCATGTTATAGACATCAGACACTTGATTTTATTATGGTCTTCTTTAAGTCCGACGCTCTTTTCTGAAAACGCTGAGATCTCTCTTCAAATCGCAAGCCATGTTGTTTGTACACCATGAGGGACTAAAGATGTTGTATCAGCTATCATCATATCAGCTTCGACAGGGTATCTGAGTGGCCTTTCTATCAAGAGACTTATCAGCACAAATATAGATGCAATTGAAAGCAACAAAGTCATTGAAATCGCAAGACTCGACAGGTGTAGTCAAACATGAACAATGCAGACTTTCATCAGCACCCTATTCTTCGTCGTGTTCTTGATCCTCGCCACCTGAGTGTACTCCGTCTCCATCACTATACATTATTTCGCCGTCGTCGTCTGGCGCGTCCTCCTCGCCACTATCGCTTTCCTGTCCGTCTTCTGCTTCACTGCCAGCCTCGCGACACTTGCGGTTCTCTCCACCTATTCCAGCAGCTCGGCTCTGAATGTCGCGCCCGCAGCGCGGGTGTGGGCGCTTTGCTCCATTATCCCGCTTGTTTTGCCGGATCTAAAAGCACGTCATTGAGTATCCAGGGTGGTGCTTCCACGCCTTGTTGCACAGATACAACCTGCATAGATTGATTAGTCTGTGCGTTCAATCGCCGCAACCAAATGGACTTGTACGTACCGCGCTTTGTCGGGCTTAATGCAGCCAGCGCAGAAGTATTTACCTGCACGACGCTCACCGATTTTGCGCTTCAAAATCGAGCACAATTTACATTGCATCTGACGTCTTTCTCATCACTATTCACATCCGAGGTGGTAGACTATACACAGAATATAGCGTGAGTTCGATACATCCAGCATGTCAACCATACAACATGTACACTTACTCTCTCAGCGAAGTATTTTCTCTTCATCGCCAGCTGCTGTGCATGTGGCTCCAGCAAAAACACAGCGTGAGAATTAGGTCTGACGCCAATTCGCTTTTGTGCCTCGCAGAACACGATATGGGCGTTCACAATTGCTACGTCAACCAGCCCCATGAAGATTGCCTGTAGTATTTCTTGCACCATGTTTGCAGCTGGAGGGAATACCACTGAAGACGAAGCTGATCGTGAATGTCGACCCCTCTCATCCAACGGTGATATCCACGCACCATGGAAGGGCACGGGCCGACGTGGCGTTTCCCTCCTGTGTCTCGTGTTCGTCTCCCTGATGACATAAGAAATAATGGCATAGTTTACGTACTGCAAGATTTCATCGACCAGCTTGATCCTGTCCCCAAAACCTGCACGGGCTTGCGGTCCCACCATACGTGACCGGTCATAAAAGGGCAATTTTTACTGTCATGCACACAGGGCCATGGACAATAGTCTAAGGCCGGTCTCGATTAGTCTCCACAATCTCCCGTGGGTATTCAACCTTGTCTCCTGTAATAGTTCCGATTGAATACACGTTACGATGCAGCAACTGGAATGCCAGTTGTACCGATGGGTAGAATCTTTTCGTGACAACAAGAATCCTTTAGCACCGCCTCAAGGCTGCGAATCGCAGCGGAGGGCCAGTGTTCGGATCTGCATATTGTCGACTCGCCGGTACATTGCTTATTTCTTCCAAATGCTACGCCTTGCCGCGGTATACTTCCAGTCTACATGCTGTACATGCAGCAAGTAACATCATGTCGTATACAACATGCTGACTCGGACCAAGCAAAAAAGCAAGTCCCAATGAACTTGCACACTCGCCTTAAACAGTAAGTTGTGTCGGCACAGCAAGTCAAAAACAGCTTCGTACTCAATTTGCGGGGCTTCGATTTAAGATATTGGCGAGTTGGGTTGTTCCGGTTCCGCGACGGGATCGTTCCTTCGTCAAAAGATAGAAGTGGAGGGGATTTGAATCCAAGCGTGAGCCTCTCTTGGAGTGTATCGATCACCGATCGCGGGTGGCTTGAGCTCTGCACTATTTGAAAAGTGCAAGTTGGCCATAATGTGATCAAAGCGATGCCGACGCATGTAATCATTGAAAGTGCCGCGGGCAACTGCTCCAACACGTTCAGTTTGCCAATGATCTCGAAACCAGCGACGTTGCGGGCTCAGCATACGCGCCATGAGCAATCCTAACACATGCAGAATCTCGTGAGGCGAAATGTCACCCTTACTTGCTTCTCGTGTCATGAATTCATCCCTTGTCATTTTACCGGGCGCTCGTTGCTTCTCATTAATTTGGTTCACACGAGCTGGAAGATTCTGCATGAAGTAGCGATTTGATATACGTGCAACAAGCTTCCAAAACGTCTTCGGCATGAAAAATAGAAACAACTTCAACGGAGAGTCAGCCAAAGCCAAAACTTCGTTCTTCTCCACTTTGCAAACCTGGATATCTCTGATCGGGTGGAAACTCTGAGAGGTTTAAATGATACCACATACAACAGCTGGTCTTGTGCAGCGGGGCTGCCGTAGCTTTAGCGTCAGAGGAAGACGTTCGACTCAAAGAGTCACTAATACTAAGTTCCTTATCCAAAGGACACTTATAGCCCAAGACCAGGGCTCAAAGTTAATACCTTAACTTTTATGCTTAAAAAACAGAAATGTTTTATTTACTATTATTGCAGCCAAGCCGCGTAGGGGTAAATGTATCTATTTAACTATCTAGCATAGTTAAACCTAATCAAATGCAAAACGTGTGGCTTTCAGCCAACATACTGAGAGACCTTGTTAACTCTCCAACTTATGTACTGAGAGTTTGTTAACTCTCCGAGTACTTCGTACCCCTGTATGTTCCACACCATGTAACCCCGTTACGCTCTCCCCCACTAAGATGAGATCATTCCGTTCTCGAAACTTTCCTCAGTGAGGTCACGTCTTGTTAAGACGGCGGAGGTTACTACACCTCACACCAGCGTTGTACAGCTCTGCGAGCTCACACACGCCTACGCATCGCTGATGCCCAACTTCTTGTCGTCGGCCCACGGCCCAATGCTCTAAGCGCAGCGCGCATCTTGCTCTCAAGCGGTGTCAGACCTACGCTCGCGCTCCGCGCCTACTCCAAGAGTTACAAACCGGTTAGAGCTATGCTCTTGACTCATCCGAGTCGTCGACAGCAGCTCAGCGGCTGAACACTCGCTTCACAAGCGATAGGTCGGTGGTTCGATCCCACCAGGGCGTCGCCATCTCGTTCCATGAACGATTGTCCATGCTTGGACAAGCTTAAGGGCGAGACCCTTTTAGCTCAATGGTTGAGCGCTGGCTTTGGAAGCCGCAGGTCGGTGGTTCGAACCCACCAGGGCACAGCACTCTCGTTCCATGAACTGTTGTCCTTGAATGGACAAGCTTAAGGGCAACACCCTTTCAGCTCAGTGGTCGAGCGTTGGCTGTGGAAGCACAGGTCGGTGGTTCAAATCCACCCGGGCGTAGCCCTCTCATACCATGAGTTGTCTGTTCTCGGACTGACGTACGGCATCGCCCTTATAGCTCAATGGTAGAGCTCCGGCCTGGTAAGCCAAAGGCCAGTGGTTCGATCCCCGTTCGGGACACCACTTTCGTTGTTACAGCGCATCCACATTTGGATCATGCTCATCGAGCAAATTGTTTTAAAACAACTATGCGTCTATCGAGACGCTTATGCCTGAACCTTGTTTAGCACAACACGAAGCACCTGCTTCCTTCGGGACCATGTCCCAAACACCACGAGGTCTCTCCACCTCCTGCTCCTGCTGCGAGCACCGCTCATACGTACGAGCTGGCTGCTGCAGCCACTGCTCAGAGCCTGAGCTCAACTACTGACCTGATCGCTCCCCACTCTAGTGGGAGGCGCCCAGCGCCTGGCGACGCTGTCGCACGCCATGGTGGCGCTTCGGCACATGATGTGCCCGGTCGTAAGCGTCAACGACGTCAGGGCAATCTTGACGGAGGATAACCTCAAACTCGCATGAGTTCTGTGAGTGAGGGTGACCCCTCCACTTCACCAAGTACTGGGTACGACCCTGGCGTCTACGCCACGCCACAAGGCGTTCCACGTGAAAGTGGAGCTCCCCTTGCTCATCGAGCAGAGCGGGAGGAGGCCTTGCCTCAGCAGGGCTCTCGCGGGGAGAGTCAGCACTTGCCGGAGCGGCGTCTGCGTCCATACGACGCCGGCGTCCACGACGCGAACGTTCACGTTCACCGCCCATCGGTCGATCTCGAAGCTATGGTCCACCTTGTGGATAGGTTAGAGCCACCACTGTTGACTCACAACCAGGTGTCGGACCTTGAGCGTCCAGGCGCTCGGCTGAACGCTCAGCTTGCCTTGCTCCTGCAGCTCGAGCACTTCGCTCCGCGGCCTGTGGCTCTGCCACATGCTGTTGATCAGCCATCGGTGGGTCCACCACTTGCTGTCGTTCAGCCTCCCGTGGCTCTACCACCTGCTACCCTGCAGCTGTCGATGGTCCAGCCACCGTTGGCGCTAACGCCTCCGCGCTCACCTGAGCAGGGCTTGATATGGCTTTAGCAAGCCAACATAGAAGACCGGATGCGTGCGCATCTTCTTCGGGAGGTTAAGCGTATACGCTAGGCCCTTCCTGGCCACGACCTTGAACGGTACTATGAGCCGAGGTCTCAGCTTCATCTTGAAGACTGCAGACACTGCATGAGTAGGTAGGTTTTTAGCGTTTAATAAAACTTGGTCACCGACCTCAAACCTCTAAGCATTGCTTCTGCCCTTGGCATCTGCATGTTCCTTCTGCATGTCTTGGCTTTCAGCCATAGCGTCGCGTACTTGACGCATTACGCTCAGTCTCAAAGAGAGACAAAGTCATCGACTTGCTTGCGAACCGCAACAGGGCTGACATTAGCTAGTCGCTCGGCTATCCCTCCCCCATCAAGCCCTGAGCCACTGCGTGGCGGCGTCAGTGGGACGCGAGGGTGAACCAAGCCGTTCACATAGAACGGAGTGTAGCCTGTCGAGGCGTGCACTGCATTATTTAATGCGAACGCCACGAGTGGGAGCATCTGGCTCCAGCATTTCGGCGCCTCAGCGCATACGCTTCGGAGGATATCCTCCACAACGCGATTCACGCGTTCGGCTTGACCATCGGTCTGCGGGTGGTCCGCTGTGTACATGTCTAAACGAGTGCCGAGCGATCTGAAGAGGAACGTCTAGAATTTCGCGGTGAAGCGCGGGTCTCGATCCAAAACAATTGCCTCAGGCAAGCCATGTTGGCGAAAGACTCGGTCTAAAAACAGCAAAGCTGTACCTTCACCATCAATGGTGTCCGGCACCGCCGCTAAATGAGCCATCTTGCTCAACCGGTCTACAAAGACCACAATACCCGTGTTTCCCGCCTTATCCTGGGGAAGGCCAAACACAAAGTCCATACTCATGGACTGCCAGCATCCCTTGGGGACAGGCAAACTCGCCAATGGCGCTGCCGTGCTCGGCGCGGACTTTGTCCGTTGACACGTCTCACACGTGCGTACATAGGTGCCGACCCACTTATACATCTTGGGCCACGAGTACATCGAGCTCACCGAGCCATATGTCTTCTCCCGACCTAAGTGCCCGCCCACGGGCGTATCATGAACCTCATGAGGATTCGATACTTTAGATCCTCATCATGAGGAACGACTACACGAGGGTTATCCTCAGAATCGGTGCTGTAGTACAGCAGGCCGCCATTGAGCGAGTATCGATGCAGCCTCGAGCGTAAGCGCCCAGACAATTCCTTGTCAGAGTCTCTAAACTCTTCGCTCCCAAGAGCCCGTTGCAGCGCTACGCACATGTCGTCTTGTGCATACGCTCCGCGGATCAAGTCAGGCACTGACGACGTCACTGTCGTGACATGAGCTAACTCGTAGTCGGGCCTGCGCGAGAGCGCATCGGCCACTACATCAAGCCGCTCCGGCTTGTACTTCACCTCGAAGCTATACTCGGCAAAGAAGAAAAGCCATCTTGCCATTCTTGGAGAGAGATGAGGCGACTGTGTCGCATTGCGTAGAGACGCATGATCAGTAAAGATCACAAAAGGCTTAGAGCCTAGCAGGTGTACCCTGAATTGGACTAGATCATACTTCATTGCAAGTAGCTCGTTGTCATGAACTGGATAGTTCTTCTCTGCAGCTTTGAGCTGGCGAGACTCAAACGCAATAACGCGTTCACGCCCTTCGGCATCTGCTTGTAGTAAAGCACAGCCGATTGCAAAATCGGAGGCGTCACATACGACGCTAAACGGACTATCCGGGTCCGGTAGCGCAAGGATCGGAGCCTGGAGGAGGCTCTCCTTCTCAGCCTCAAAGGCTCCGTCGTGCTCGACGTTCCAGCACCATGGTGCGTACTTCTTAAGGAGATCTGATAATGGCCGAGCCATCTCCGCGTAGTTTGCGCTGTACTTGTGCAAGTAATTGGCTAAGCCTAGCCACTTGCGTAAGTCCTTTTGGTTCTTGGGAGCCGGCCAGTCCACGATGGCCTTGACTTTGGCATAATCTGCCCTTAAGCCTCGCTTCCCAATGAAGCACCCGAGGAAAGGTATTTCCGCCGCGCCAAAGACGCACTTGTCCAAGTTGGCATACCACTTATTAGTGCGCATGCACTCGAGCACCGCTCGCAAGTGGTCAATGTGGGTTTCCACGTCTGACTTTCCGTGCCCAGCACGACTATGGACGAATATATCGTCAAAGTACGTTTGAGCGTACGCCCGGTGGGGCCTAAACAACTGCGTCACAAGACGATTGAACGTTGCTGGTGCGTTCGACAGCCCCTGGGGCACCAACAGCCACTCCCAGAGCATACCGCTCGGAGTACTCACCGCTGTCAACGGAATGTCGCTCGCTCTCATGAGCAATTGGTAGTAACAATCGACCAAGTCGAGCGCGCTGTACAACGTACATCCTACCATGTTGTTCTGCAGAACATCCTTGCGAGGCTTCGGCGTTTGCGCCGGGATAGTGGCCGCATTTAGCTTGTTAAAAGCATGAACAATGCACCACTTGCCGTTCGGCTTTCTGACACAGAACGTGGGTGTCGAGTGCGGAGACTTACTCTCACGCACCATCCCTGCCTCGTGCCTTGCACGGACGAATGCGTCAATGACGTCACACGGCTCTCTCGGCAAAGGCCATTGACTTGTCACGCAGTATTTGGTTTCAGGAACCAGGTCAATCTCATGACACACGCCTCGATCCGGAGGCAGGCCCATCGGTGGGTCTTTCGAGACAACGTCTTTATACTCCTTCACCACAGGATAGAAGGGACTCGAAGGATCTTTGAGGATCGCCGATCCACTTCTGGCGCTCATTGCCTTCTTGGTGTCCTCTAGGACCAGCGTCGTCCACGACGGATGAGGAGTTCAACTCCTCCTCAGGTCCCAGTAGGACCACCTCGGCTAGCTCGCCTGTCTTAAAGGCTTCGCTAAACTCGGCAATGGACATCTCGTCCAGCTTTATCAGAGCATCTGCAGCGGGCAGAGTGTCAAGGCTGATGTCGCCTTCTACCTCCCCCATCACTCCGTTCACGAGTGTGTACAGCTGCTCACAGCAATCACGTGGAGCATCACCGCTCGTCACGTTGGACACATCGTCCGACGTCGAAGACGTCACAGACGCCCTGCGTCTTCTTCTCCTCTCCCTCCGCGACCGAGCCCGGTCGGATGAGGGCGATATGGCGACATCTCCGTCACCACCACCGGGTGCAGCAGCACCACCACTCCTCGAAGAGGATACAGTGTCTCGCAAGACACTCGGCTGAAAGCCAAGAGGTCCTTGGCCTTCACACAATGAGCTAGGTGTCACTTCACCTGCATCTCCTGGGCCACGCCCATGATGCCTCGACTCGCCGTCGACCGCGACCCTCGGGCCACGCAGCGGTAGGTCATCGACCAGATTCGTACCACTCAGTGGATTACGCACCACTCCGCGCTCGTCCTCACCAGGACCCAGCTGTTGGTCGTTGACCTAATCTGCACCGCTCAGCGGAGAACGTGCCGCACCACGTACTCCCTCAGGGCAAACAGCAACCTCGTTGCTAGCAATTTCTGACATACCAATGTCCAGCACTACGGCCGCCTCGGCATCATGCTCGCGCCAGAAGCGCTTCTGCTTCTTAGCAGAAGTGGGTTCATGCCTCACCAAAGCTCCACTAGGAGCAGGGTGCGACGCACCCAGCGTTTTCGACTTCCAGTCGATCCATGGCTCATGGCGTTTCAGCCATGCCATGCCAAGGATGAGGTCATACCTCGCATCCAGGTCTAAGACCAAACAGCGTTCCACGCTATCGAAGTTCCCAAACTTCACTCCAAGGTCGACAGAGACCTTCTACACAGTTACAAGTGTCCCCGTCGCGAGACAGACAGAGATCGTATCTCTCGTTGGCACTTCCAGTGCCTCAGCATACAGCAGACTCCCTTCCAGGGTGGAGCGACGGGCATAGTTGCCCGAGGCTCCCGAGTCAATTAAGATTCTCCATGGCTTTGTAAAGCCCTTCACGTTCGCTTGAACGACCAGCAAGACCGGCTTGCACACACTCTTCTCGTAAGAGAGCTCAGCTCTCTTCGGGGCTGAGCCCCGTTGCCCTCTACCTCTTCGAGGCACGACAGAACTCAGTTCTTCCCCAGTAGGCCGCCCCGCGCCTACTGGGAGTTGCCGTTTCTCGGCGATGACCCGGAGAGTTGGCTCGCCGCAGCCTCGCGCTTCTTGCGCAGAGGGCAATAGGCCCTCAAGTGCTTAGTGCTATTGCACGCAAAGCATCGACGGATGCCGGCGCGCTGCTCCGCAGCAAGAAGCTCCGCTTCTTCATCTTCAGCATAGCTGAGGTCCATCGGCTCTGGACCGCTCGAAGAGTTTGCGTTACCAGCGCTCCAACCAGGTCGCGCCGACCTGAAGCTGTGCTCGGCATTCAATGCCACATCCACCGCCTCTTCGAAAGCGTTGGGGTGTACACGGAACACTTCCGTTCGAGCTGCGCTCACACGAAGTCCCTCCATGAGCACTGTCACGCTGACCAGTTCCGGAAGAGGGTCCGCCGCCATTCCGGCGATAAGAGTTCTCAACGCTTGGACATAGTCCAATAAATCCTTCTTACCCTGGCGGGCAGCAAGAAGCTTCGACCGGATACGGTACGCCTGATTAGGTGGCGCGAACACGTGCGAAAGCTGTCGCTTCAGCTGATCCCAAGTGGTAAATGCAGCGTCAACAGGCGTGCCGCACGTTAGTGCCCATTCGCGAGCGCGACCTCCAAGCCTGGAGATAGCCAGCGCCACGCGCTGATGCTCCGATTGGAGCAGGGCCGATCCCATGGCCATCTCGACCTCACGGATCCAGAGAAGGAGATTCTCTCCATCCTTCCCCTCGAAGGGTTTTACGCTCACTATGAGCGGTTTCAGTCGCATAGACTCTTCATGCGTCATCGACGCCGCCGCCGTTGCGGCGCTCATCTTCTCTTGGACGTGCTCCAAGAGCGCGTTCTCGTAGCGGGAGAACGATTCCAGCCTGGCGGTGACCGCCTCTGGACCGTGCGATGCAAGATGAGCCACGCCCGCCGGGCCAAGCAAGGACTTAAGCTTAGTAAGCGCTTCCTGCTGCGCCGGGGGCAAATTCGTGAACACAGGGTGTTCCATCCTCGCAGAGGATATAGTCAACCGACTCAGGAGCGGGATTGACTACAAGTGCTACCAAGTGCAGCGGGGCTGCCGTAGCTTTAGCGTCAGAGAAAGACGTTCGACTCAAAGAGTCACTAATATTAAGCTCCTTATCCAAAGGACACTTATAGCCCAAGACCAGGGCTCAAAGTTAATACCTTAACGTTTATGCTTAAAAACCAGAAGTGTTTTATTTACTATTATTGCGGCCAAGCTGTTTAACTATCTAGCATAGTTAAACCTAATCAAATGCATAACGTGTGGCTTTCAGCCAACGTACTGAGAGACCTTGTTAACTCTCCAACTTATGTACTGAGAGTTTGTTAACTCTCCGGGTACTTCGTACCCCTGTGTGTTCCACACCATGTAACCCCGTTACATCTTGAGTACATGTTATAAGATACAACTCATCACATATAGCACCTACCAAATATCCACCCATTCTTTCGCATTGCAGCCATAATGCCTTCGCTCTTAGCAAAAACCACCATCTCATCCTTGTCGAGTTCAGCGTCGTTTCGATCATCTTGCACTGCGACGCCATCCTCGCTCACCTTCATGTCGTGCACGCTTTCCTCCATTTCTTCATGTTCGCATTCGTTGTCCGTTTCGCTCATTTCGCTGTCGTGCTCATCATCAGAGCCTTCCGTATTGTCGTCTCACTCCCCAAATCGGACTGCATGTCGTGCTGCGCGTCTTTCGTATCGAGCTTTTTCCAGCTCCTCGTCATCGTCGTAAAAACAAATTTCAGTTTCAGTGTATCGCAGTCCGAATCTAACACCTCGAACTCTCGATCGGGAGTCGAAAATGCTTTAATTTCGATTTCATCGCGAGGACAGATGATATCTGGACCAGAGAGTTGTCGACGTGCGGTTGGCGTTGATGAAGCATCGGACTGCAGTCGAGAACATTAAGAACAATATATGGGTTAGCGTGACACGTTGTATACTCACGATGTTGTATAAGGCAACGATACAGCCCAAGATGTTGTATTATCATGTTGTACCTGTTAGAATCTTGAGACGCTGTATCCTGGACAGGTAAAGATGCTTGATTCTCGTCATGATGTAGAGCACTACATGAAAACAACATGAGATGTTAGTTCGTGTTGTAGAAGACAACTATAATCTTGCTGTACCTTGGCGATGCTGGAGGTGGCAGTTCTGACGAGCCCGGGCTCTCAGTTTCAACTTGCTGCTTGCGTCGCTTTGGCTTGGAAGACGTAGGTAAATTTCCAGCTGAACGTTTCGTGACTGTCTTCTTCTTCTTGCTTTCATCTTCCAATCTTGTACGAGCTTGATCATGTTCCACCCCACCTTCTACTCCCGCCGCTGCGGCCGCAACACACTGTTGCTCCGCCGCCTTCCTAGCTTACATAGCCTTGGCCTTGGCAATCTGATCTGCAGACAGCTTTCTTGACTTGGCGGAGGGCTTTGCCGTCGCGTTGGTTTTCGACTTCGCCTTCCTCTTCGCCGTCTTGAACGGAGCCATCGGCTTGTCCTCCCACTCATCTTCCGGATGTTCGTCCTCCTCCTCTTCGTCGTCATCAGGCACGTAGTCATCGTCCTTTGGCTTCACTCGTTTTGCAGCCGGGGCCTTCTTTCCAGACGCAGTTACGGTCTTGACCGCCACCGCTCGTTGCTGCTGCAATATGAGTCGCTTCTGAGCCCTCAAAAATGACACGTCCTTGCCCTTGGGTGGATTGTCTGTCGGGCGAGGTGTACGCGCCACCACTGGTGGAGGTGGAGCCCCAGTTCCAAAATCAGCGTCTTTCTCTCTCTCCCCTGTCAGGAAGGCTGTGTGCTCATTCATTTTGTACTTCCTTTCCTCAACGCTTCGACTCTCGAGTCGGTACATGAACTGTTCACGCTCATTGCGCGTCTCCCGAGGTAGGGCTTGTTTGGGCGGCATTCTTGCTTTGCCTTAGTCTTCTTTTCAAGTCGGGTTTTCTTCGAATGACCGCCAGCCACTCATCCGGGGGAGAGGGAGCGATGTGCAGCACACTATCCGTCTATTTTTATGCGTCATAGATGCCTACCCCTGTGCATTTGCAAAATCATCTGGCCATGTTCAAGATTTGCTTATACTTGGTTTCACTAGTTTTTGGCCCCTTTTATAGCCAATCCCTACTAGAGCATGTTGTATGTCGATGTTGTACAACATGTTTCATGCTGACAGATACAATCCTTGGGCGTAGAAGGGGGGGATTGTCTAAGGAGGGCCATTTCAAATCTGCAGCCAATTTAAAAAAAGACCAGCGTGAACAAAACAAAGTCTGACCAGATCTGGCTTCATTCTGACCGCTTACAAAGTCCAACTAGAAAGCTGCGCGTTTCCGGCCCAGATGGGTATTTCCGTCCCACGCCAACTCCGTTTCCGTCTCAAACCAGCATTGCCGTCCCACTTCGAGATGGTGTCCAATCGAGCCAAGCCTTCACTTCCTGACCGAGGTTACCAAATGGTATACATAGGCTTGTCCAACCGCGTTCTGGCGGTTCTGCTCAATGAAGCCAAAGAACGTGACTACAGATCTGTCTTCGCTGAAGTCGGGGCTGAAAACGACGACAGCTTTAGGGCCTAATCCCGTGTAAATCCTCGTGAGTCGTCAGGGGCGACCAACGAGCTGAGCCGAGCCCTTCGCACCAGCACAGCTTGTATGGACCCACGGTGGATTCCTCGCGAGTTTTCGTACATGCGATCACTTCCAGGCGGTGTGGAGCAGGAACCACACATGGACTACCCACCGCCGGTAGCTAATACCACAGCAAACAAGCGATACCAGCGTATTCCTGCCAGCATGCTGCTAGCACTTCAATCTGGCATTAGTTTGCGTGTGTGCGACGGTTGCTTTACTATTCGTGATGATTCGAAAGCTCGCAAAGTGGAGATTCCTGTTGGATATGCGCTGATATTTCGTGGAGACCTGATTCATAATGGAATGGCCTACGCGATTGAAAAATTTGGAGTTTACTGCTACCTAGCATACGACAAAATGTCTTGGGAGCCTGATATTGTGTCGAGTGTTTTACCTAAGACTTACACTTGTGCTTTCTGTAAACTAGAGCTGGCTGAAAGCAGTAAAATGAGGACACATCGGTTTTACTGTACCAAAACTCCGAACGGGCAGGCAAATAGGAACAAGCGAAAGAGAGAAGATCAAGCAAGTGGCTTACGCGTCTGTAGTGTGTGCGGTAAAGGATATACCAATTCGAGCTCTTATCGCACTCACATTTCGCTACCTCACGCAGATATAGAAGTGTAGGACAGTCGCTTTTAAAGGTAATACAACGGTTGGACACCTGCATCACTTATTTTGTACTTAATGACTGCCCTGAGCTGAGTAACTATCACGTTGAAGTTGTAAAAAGTATACATTTTCTTTTTTTGCGTTGATATCATTTTGCTACCAGAAAAATATTATCAACTCATACACTCCATCCAGCGTACCCCCAAGAACGAGGCGGAAGGTATGGCTGCTCATACGATGCATTGTCAGGATCTTGCATTGGTACTACGCTCTGCAATGGTGGCAGCATAACTATATGGTTGAGAACACCATTGCTGCGTAAAGCGCCAGGAGGAGAAGCCGGATGATTTAGATCTATCCGCTCGCTGAAAGTAGCTTCGCGTCTCGTACTGTGCGTGCCCATGTTGGCCCGATGCGTGGATCGGGCGCTTGAATCTCTTGTTCTTGTTGTCGTCACATTGGAAGCAGGCTCCAATATGCGTCGGACTTGACTGACAGGGATAAAGCGATTGATCCACCAGTGGTTTACAAAGTGTTGAGGCAGAAGCCGAAGACGACCGTTCGATTCTATGATGGCTATGAGATCATGCAAGCATGGCCTCCCATGAATCGACTTGAAGGTCTTCGAACATGAAGACCGATTCAGTCGGTTGTAGACAATCTTGCACGCATCTCTCCACAAGGCTTCTGTCAAAATCAGAGCATGAACTGAGACAACCCTCACTACAGCAGCATACCTGCTCGGCTGGAGAAGAAATGGCGTGATGACAGCGTTGCGTGTCGAGAGTAGTCGTAGATCTGATATAGCTCCTTTCCACCATTAGAAGAGACTGTTGAACACTGTGTACAGGTCTCCACGTCTGTTGCCGAGCCACGACTTACATTTGGCATGTGTACCTTCGACAATCGACGTGTCCCGAACCCCAAAGTGTTGATATTTATCTGTCCACGCCTTGACAATTATCTCCTTGTATTTCCACCACGTTGTGTCTAGATACGAAGCCAGGTACAAACTGTGGTCCTTTATCTTTGCTCGGAGCGTTTCAAACTCAGACTCGGTGTCGGCATCGACTGCCTTGAAAAAAGCAGTCATGAAAGAGTTTGTCTCCCACGTATTTTCTTTCGAGGAGATTCCTGTGAACGGATCTACAACCGACACATGTCCGAGGTGCTTCCGGGCCATAGCTTCTACATTTTTGTTCACGTGCCATCGGCAAATCATTGCTGGAATTCCTTTGAATACATGGTCGTTTGCATTCATGCAAGCCTGCTCTCTGTCAGTGAGAACTACATCGGGCTCTTCCACGTCTTTTTTGATCATAAAGAGACGCAGCATGTTCAACGCCCACGTGTAGTCTTCTTCGTTTTCGCTGGGCAGCCAGCACTGACCTATCGGTAAGGCAGTGTTTAATCCGGTCACAGCTATGATGTTGAGCAACGGAATCTTGTACTTATTGGTTTTGTAGATGCAGTCCATGACCAAGACGTCATGGTGCCGCCTGAACCAATCACCAACACCGTGGTGATCCCAGAAGAGATACCGCACCTCCATCGTTTCTTCGTTTAAAGAGTAGCGAAAGTATAATCCCTCCTCAGCAAGAGCCGAGAAAAGGGCCTCCATGACTGTATGCGTGGAACCACACGACGTCTCACAGCATTATGAGTGTTTGCAATATCCTTGGGAGTGACAAATGAGTTGGGGTCCGCTCGCATCAGTGTAGCACGAATGCTGGAAACAGACTCACCAGCCGCAGGCTGGGCTTCCACAAGCGACTGCACAGTTTGGCCCCCGGTGAATGAAGTACTCGCAGCTGCACGTTGTCGATGACACGCGTGGACACGGGCATCTTCAGACGGAGGATGATTGTGAAGTCGGCTTCCATTTCTGGTGTGGACAATCTGCCACGGCCCTTGTGGGCCCGACGCCGAAGCAGCTTTGATGACAAGCTTCATGTTGCACCCCATTCTTTTCGACCCTCGCATAGGCCTAATACGATCTGCAGCCAGCAAGTGCTGTGTCTCTTTCGGCTTATCCGACCGATCGCAGTCGAGGCCTCTTTTCCAGACGAAGGTCTTAGCATCTTCAGTGTAGAATGCACGCCATTTTGTCATGATGAACCCGTGCTGCCTACTCCAGCGATGCACAGCAGCAAGAGCTTCAGACTCCGACTGAAACGTCTCTTCACTGGGCGGTGGAATGACGAAGCAGTTCATTTCCACTTCAGTGTCCGTGATGCTGTTTGAGTTACAAATGGCCGTGTCGGTCATTTAGAAGAAGCGTTGGTCTAGTTTAGTGGCTGTAGTTGTGATGCTGAGCTCGGTAATAAAAGTGAATGAGGCTAGCCAAACGTTAACTTTCGAACCGCCTATACCATTCGCATGTCAGAGGTATACATTGATGGACGGTATAAAATGCAATAGCTGTCGTTGGTTTTCCACACGTATCGATCACACGGACATTTGGAATCAGGTGCTCGTCTACCGATTTGGTTGAAGTCGAAACGCCCAACCACTGACTTTGTTTTGTTCACGCTGGTCTTTTTTTGAAATGGCTATAGATTTGAAATGGCCCTCCTTAGACAGTCCCGGGGGGGGGAGGGGGGGGGTTAAAAAATCTTAAGGTCTTGATATTTTTCACACACATTTACGATGACGGCTTGCCATTTTTAGCTCCCAAAAATACCGCAAAGCACAATACCGGTACATGTAAAGCGTGAACATGTAAAATACTGTATAAATATATGCCAAACGTACAACAGCGTGTACAACCACGATGGGTTTGGAGAATTTTTTTCTTACTGAATCAGAATCACTAAGCGCTGCAATCGAAGTGACAAATGACCACCTTGTTGCTTCTCTCGGCGAAGAGCAACTAGAACTTTAGTCACAGGAAGCTGTCGCCCGTATGCTGCGTATATTTGGTCGATAACAACATCACTGGTGAATTCTGCGCGAACGAATCCAGAGACTACGACCCAGAAAGCATTGCGCCCTGAGTAGGCAAAGTTGTTGGCTCCTCGCTCAGCAGCGAGAAGCTCTTTCGCTGGGTTTAAGCCGTTCAAACCAAACTCGTACTACCTCCTCAGCACGTACAGATCCTACGGTCTCTTCGACAGTATGGCGTGGTGAGCTTCGTGAGCAGCACTGCCATCTGTGCCTGCTTCGGCAGTCACGATCGAATTGGACAACACTCTTCTTGCAATAGGTTATAGAGCAATATGCCGTAATACAGCCAATCGATTTTAATGGTTTCGCTGGCTTTCGGTACGCGAGCGGAGGGCCTCGTTCAACTTGCCAGCAACTTAGCGTTGCAGGCTAAATATCTTCAAATGGAGTGCAACAAAGTCTTTACGGGCACTGTCCGCAATATGCTGCTCTGTGTTCCATGCGTCTGCGCAGACTCGTCGCCATCGGTAGGGGCATCACGAATCTCAACAAGCCGAAGCTGTGCGCCGTCACGGGTTAGGGCACACACCTCACGGGATTCACAACGACGTTTCTTCCAACCATGACGTAGGCTCGTACAATGCGTTGCTTGAGCACATTCGGAAATAGGTCATACTCAAAGGCTCCATCCGGGACGAGAAATGCCCAAAGTAGCGTCAGAGCGAGCACCTTCGCAACTTCCTTTCTCATCGATTTCCTAATTGCAGGTCCGACTTGATTGACCAGTAGCTCTTCGACAACAGCAATAATTCCCTCTCTAGGTACATAACAGCATGGTCCAACCAGGCCTGTCAGCGATTCAGCAGCATGGAGCCTTGACTAGTGACGGTGGCGAAATTTTTGCAAGACTGAGAGCCACCACTTGTTTTTTGCAAGAGCCAGTGAAGATACAAACCCCCAGTGCAACTATTCTTGCAAGTGATACTGATTTATTTGCAGAGGTATCGCGCTGGAACTGTGCTTACTGCACCTGATCCGCCAATAAAAATGTGATACGGATAAAAAATACAACCTCGGTTGCAAATGGCCGGTTATGTAGTACTGTAGTTTTCTGAAAAGTTGCTTGCAAAAATGGCCAGTCAATAATTGCATGTCACAAAAACGAAGAGTGCCATCGTGGCTTGTGGCGTAAATTCCGGCGTAATGCTGCGGCGTCTTCCTCGGTCGGTAGTCTCTACATGTAGTTTTCCTCCCACGCTCTGCTTACTCCCCTCTCTCACATTCTCCATGTTCCTCTCTCGCAGCTTTCAATGCACAACGGTGTCTCTCTCTCGAGCGCGCGTGCTTCCTCGCTCGAGTGAACATTTCTCACCTTGGAGAGGCTCTCAACTGCTCTTCTCCACTCTCTCGAAATCTAAAGACGACGAGGAGCAGAATGTGGCTGCTCCCGCCAAAGCAGGCGAATTTAAACGTCTTCTATCGCTCTACAAGCCCGAAAAGAAGCCTCTAGCCATCTCCATCTCGGCTCTTGGCGTGTCTACGTTCATCACCATGTGTGTACCCTACGGAATGGGCAAAGTAATCGACGTCGTGTCCGCTGGCTCAGCTGCTGCGATGCCTCTATCCACTGTAGTGACGCTACTGGGCGGGCTCTTCGCTGCTGGGTCGATCGCCAACATCATCCGCGTGGACACGAGCAATATGATCGGAGAGCGGATCACCAACAGACTACGACAAGACACGTACGCGTCGATACTGAAGCAAGAGTTGGGCTTCTTTGACGCGTCCAGGACCGGAGAACTACTAAACAGACTGAGCGCAGACACGACGTTGATTGGTAAAGTCCTGAGTGACAATGTAGCGGGAGGACTACGCAGCACAGGCCAGGCTCTGGGCAGCATCACTATGATCTTTATCACGTGCCCCAAACTGGCCATGGTCATGTTGTCTGTGGTGCCGCCTATTGCCATTGGGGCTGTCAGTTATGGTCGTTATGTTAAGAACCTCACGACCAAAGTGCAGACGCAGCTGAGCGAAGCCACCGAAGTGGCCGAAGAGAAACTCAGCAACATCCGCGTGGTTCGTTGGTTCGCGAAGGAGCCGCAGGAGGTGGAAACGCATCGAGGAAAAGTGGACGAGGTGCTGGCGTTGGCTCGGAAACGTTCGCTGGCTAGTGCCACATTCTTCGGTGGCGTGGATTTCGGTGTCAAAATGAGTATGTTGGGTGTGCTGGGATACGGCGGACAAATGGTGGCGGATGGGCTGCTTACGAGTGGAGATCTCACGTCCTTCCTGCTGTATACACTATACGTGGGCTTCTCCTTCGCGGGGTTGTCGTCCTTTTATGCGGAACTGATGAAAGGAATTGGAGCTTCGTCAAGGGTTTTTGAGCTGCTGAACCGCCAGCCGAAGGTCCGCGTACCCGAAGGAGGCTGGGCCTCTCTGCCTCTTCCATTCACGGGTCATATTAAGTTCCAGGATGTGGCTTTTGCGTACCCCACGCGTCCAGACTCGGAGATCTTTAGTGGCCTTAACTTGGAAGTATTGCCCAATGAAACACTGGCGCTGGTGGGCCCCAGTGGCTGCGGGAAGTCTTCGGTAACGTCGCTACTTGCACGTTTCTACGAGTTGGACGGACCTGGTAGTGGCGGGAAGATCATGCTGGACGGAGCGGATATCTCTACACTCGACCCAGCTCAACTGCGCGGCCTGATGGGTGCAGTACCACAGGAGCCACCGCTCTTTGCGTGCTCTATTCGGGACAACATTGCGTACGGCTGTTCGGAAGGACGCGACGCGACGCTGGAGGACGTTATCCACGCAGCAAAAGTTGCCAACGCGCACGACTTCATCATGTCGTTCCCGGACGGCTACGACACGATCGTTGGAGAGCGAGGCCAGGCGCTTTCAGGCGGCCAGAAGCAGCGCGTGGCTATCGCTCGTGCACTTGTGAAGCGTCCTAAGATTTTGATTCTAGACGAAGCGACGTCAGCTCTGGACCCGGAGAGCGAGCGACTCGTACAAGACGCTGTGGACCGCGCCAAACAAGGACGCACCGTAATCCTAGTGGCTCACCGACTGTCTACCATTAAGAGCGCCGACCGTATTGCTGTCATTTCCAACGGACGCGTGGTGGAGCAAGGCACTTACAACGAACTGGCTGCTCGCGAGGACAGTACGTTCACACAAGTGGTTCTGAACGGACAGAGCTAACGAGTGGGGACATAGAAGGCAAAGTCATTACCACAAAATGGTTGCTGCGACTAATCTATTCTTCGAATGCAGGTTTCCTAGAGAGAATAAACGTTAGAAATGTTTTTTTTTTTGGACAATGGACAAGTAGACAAATCTCACACTGAATTCAGATATTCCTTGGTGAACAAGTCGAGCGGAAGGAAACTTCGAGCTGCAGACCCCGTAGGAGCTCCGTCGCTTTGGACTGACTCAACTTCTCCATCTTTGCTTGACTTGTTGCTGCTAGCGTCCAAGTTTGAGAACAAGCTCGTCGTCTCTGGGAGACTCGCTGAAGAGTGCAGAGTTGGTAACGAGTCATCGCGTTTCTGAAGCTCCCGTCCGGATGGCGGTGCGGTCCAGTTCGTTTCTAAAGCGTCAGTGTTTACAGCGGACGGGAACAAGTGAGTGTACAGGAAAGTCAGCACTTCGTCGTGTGCTAACAACCGCTCGATCAATCGCACGCGGTCGTTGGAAGTGAAATCGTCCAGCTCCACCTCAAATTTGGGCTGTCGAGCTTTCTCTCTTGCTCGTGGGCCTCTCACTGAACTCGGTCTGCAGTCGCGTCTTCGACTTACGTCGTCTTTGACTGAATCTACACATTGCAAGAAGAATTTCTCCAGTAGAGATTGGCCGCCATCCCCGTCACGTTTCAGCAGACGCTGCTGCCTCTTGATCGAGATCAACTCGTTGGTTTTGTGCTGCAGTTCACGCTTCAAAGTACGAATCTGCTTTTTGAATTTCTCTTCTCGTTCTTGGCTTGGAGACGTCACGTCCAAGTTCAGTTGAGGCAAACCATGGGCTCGTACTGCTGCGGGGGTAAAGCGATCTTGGGAGTCTCGATGCTTCAGGATCTTGGACCCGGATCTGTCGAAAGACGGGAGCATCCCGGTAGGATCCGGGCTGGAATTGTTGCCAGGTACTGCGAGTCGCACGTCCAGCTCAGCGCGAAGTAGTTTATTCTGTTTCTTGCACGCTTTCAGCTGCGTCTCGAGCCAATTCCGATCTTCTTCAATGGACTCCAAGTTCTCCTTCATGTACTTGAGATCTTTGGTCATTGTGGTCGTAAACGCATCGAGTCGTAGCGCTTCTTTTCGGTACCAGTCACGCTCGTCTTCAATCTTTTTGATCTTCTCCGACTTGTTCTCGACTGTCTCGTTGCGGTGAATTTTCTCGCGCATTTCATGAAGCTCCTTCTGGACGTTGTACATGTGAGCTCGATATGCCGCCAAGAAGTCTCGTTCCTGACGTGCTAGCACGGAGCTAATCTTCTCGGATAAAGACCCAACGACGTCATGCAGCTGGGCATGCTTCTGTCGAACGATTGCCATTCTAATAGCAACAAGTAAAATATTAACTTGGTGAAGAGATTCATGAGAATTGATCGACATTTAGCGTACGCTGGCGTTTCGTCGGCGGCGTTTGTGTTGGCGTTCTGACCATTCCGGTTACCTGTAGCAGAGTCGGAGATCCTTTTGACCGATGTCAAGAACGTCTTCTTAGAGAACACCTCCACATCTTCTTGGTTCATTAAGCCTTCAGCCTTATCTACGACTGTACCTGTGCACTTTGAGGAACGATATTATCAGAACTTCTCGAAATAGCAAATATTTTTGATCTGGAAACGACTGCTAGCCAATATTCGTTACAGAAGGCACTTCAAGTATCCGCTCTCTCTTCGATCTGGCACAATGGTTCAGCCAAGAGCTTCTCTCGCACCACCAATCTCCTCCTTCCTACCCAACGACATCTTCTACGACTCTGCGAGTGATGACAGTGACAGTGACGTGGAAGAGTTATTTGATGCCGGGGACTTGGTTACAGTCGAAGAAGATCTTCTGCTCGTGAAGCTTCGCTGTTTTCATCCCAAACTCGACGTATCAGGTCTCTCATCTGCATTCCAGCGAGAGTTTAATATCCAGAGAGACCCCCAAGAGCTTGAAGCACGACTAGAAAAACTGCAGACTCCAGAATTCCGAGCCTTGTTTATATTATACCTGAAATCTTTGACTATTTCAAAAGAATCGTCCAATTCGGGATGTGGTATTCTACCCGAGTATCAGTCACTACTGGAAAGCACACGCAGCTTATGCGAGACCCAACTCTTCCAAATGATGTACGATCTGGACAAGTACCAACACAAAGCTTCCGAGAAGCTGGTAGTCGAGGTGTCAGGTAGAAATTTTCCTAAATACACCCGCACAGTTTCTAAAACGGAACTTCGTCGCTGCTGCAAGGCGGTCGACGATTTATTCCGTCGCCAAGTGGAGGGGGAAACGACGGCTCCAAACCAGGCTTTCACTCTGTATGCCGCCCAGACTCTGAACGAAAAACTACTGATCACAGACACTGTACCTCGTTACGACTCCTGCGCTGTGTTTAACCACTTTGAACAGACAATTTTTGATCGGCTTGTTCTGTTTGCTAAGGACCCTACAGTTGTCGAGCGCTTGGCACTACAGAGACAGCAACAAGTGGAAGCGAACCGCATCAAACAGCAACTCTCTCTTCAACTGCGAGCCATCTTTGAGACGCTGCGAGTGAAACAAGCCGAGAAACTCGAGCTAATGCAGGTGCACGAATTCGAGACGATAAAAACGCAATTGGAGAAGAATCTCGAGGCCGATCTTCAACATATTCGTCAAATGCATGCAGCACTTCTCAGCCACGAGCGAGCCAAAATTCACGCGAGATACGAAGAGCAAAAGTCGGTTTTAAACGAGAAAGTCAAGTGTATGCAGCGCGATGTGATGGCGCTGCAAAAGAAATGTGACAGTAGCAGCTGGCACGGGCTTGAGCGTATGATCATGAATACTTCACTGCAGGTGGAGAGGATCTTCGGGTCTAGCGAATATCTGCTTCGGCTACTCATTCTAGCGGAAGATATCGAGGCGGATTCATTGCGTCGTGCACTAGTGAAGTACATCAGTGAGCAAGACAAACTCCCGCAGTTTGTGCTTCGACGAGAACTTACCAGTAAGATGGTCGCAGAGACGACAGTGCTAGCGATCCTCAAAGAGTCGACGACTAAAGATCTACTTGAGGTGGCGAGCTACGGCGCGAGTTTTCTCCACCATGATCTGGTATCTCGTGAACTTCATACTAGAAAAATTGAGTTCGGGAGGTTCTTGGCTGGTCTCACTAACGATCGGCTTCGAGCTGCGAGAAGATACACGTTGGCAAAGCGACTCACAAGCAGCAGAGCCACAACGCTTCATGGGGATGTGACAGAAGACTTAATGAGTGAAGACGCGGTGATACTTGACGAAGAGTTCGATCGCTTCGCTTCTGCGCTGGAAGATTTTCCTGAGATTCTGTCGCAGGAATTCACTCGAAGACGCGAGTTCTCAAGTGTGAAAATGGACAGTACTGACATTGAACAATACGTGAGCTTCGCTGCTGAAGACTGCGTGTTGCAACTGGAGGCTTCACATCGGTACTGCACGGTGCATGCCACCAAGGAAAAAAGACAAGGAGAGTCTGGGAAATGGATGTTTGAGGTGACTATCGATGTTTTCGGTGGAGATGGGGAAAGTCTGCTATTGGGATGGGAAGTCCCTCGCTCTCATAACTCAAATAAACCGCTTTCATCCCCGGAATCGAACGACCACTTAGAAGTTGACTCGAGCTCGATGGTGCCGGGAATTTCGCCTAGTGACGACGGACGAAGTTTCGGAGTGACATGGCAGTCGGACGGCGGTCTGGACATGGGAATGCTTCACGCTAATGGCGTTTCTAAGTCAGGAGTGCCAAGCTTCCGAGCTGGAGACGTTATCGGCTGTACTATTGACCAGGACGTGGCTGTGCCTCAATTGCGCTTTTATCTCAATGGAGACCTCACGTTACCACTGCGTCGAACACCAAACAATGGCGGAGCTGTAGGATCGCTGGCGTCTGATACTTCCGGTATTCCTAGCAGCTTCGGGATTGCTGTGACGAATCCAGCATATCGATTGGCTCCTGTGGTTTCCATGTACTCGTCGAGCAAGAAACCCCAAATGCGAGTTACGTTTAACTTTCGAGGTGACTTCAAGTTCCCAATTGTAGGTTTTGATCCGTTTGGTGCTCTACTTTAAGAACGCGCTGAATAACAAATGCAGTGCATCGTCTCAGCAGTACCTCTAAAAACCACCGCTCGAATGTGTGCACTATAAGTCATGTCACGGTATCATTTTCAACTCATCGTCGATTGCCACGACGCCCATCCTTTGAGTCGATTGGCAACTTACTTAGCGGAAAATTACAACCGAGGGGTTCTTGCTGAACCCACATTTAAAAGTTAAATCGTTTCGCTTTTTATCGTCAGCAGTTATAATACTTATTCTCTCTAATTTATGACTAAGCAAAAAAATACAACTGAAGAAATGTCCTAGCATATAACGTATTGATCGATGGGGCTCTAACGATAACACGACGGACATCAAATATTTAAGAATGTTACGCAAAAAGATCGAATAAATTTTAACAGGAGCTGTATTTTAATCTTCTCCGGGGTGTGTACCTTCATATATAATATAAATATCCGAAAGGCTGTTACAAATTGTAACAGCCTTTCGGATACTTACAATTTACAAAAGATCGAATTAGCAATTTAAAATTCACTTCTTTTTTTTATTGTCATGCGGCTATGGATTATAAGAGTTTCGCCAAGCCCATTGTTCTCTAAATTTTATCCAAATTTTTAGCATTCTGACCCGACACTGCTCTAACTTCTTATACTCAGATCCCAAACTAATGATTTCACCACAAAACTTAAATAAATTTACTTCAGCACTTGATAGGCCTATTACATAAGATCTACATTGAATTGTCGTACCCAATATGAGCAGGGGTTAATAGCATCGGCACTTTGGGCAATACTTATGATCCTGATACAGTTTAAAAAGCGGTGAAACCAATATCCGATGATACTGATACGCTGACACTGGCGTATCAGTAACGTATCAATATCATATCAATAATGTGATATTCAGATGAGTCGCTACTTGCTGTCTACCTCAGTTTGCTTTTGCAAGCTCCGGTACTCTCTCCAGTTTGCTTTCATCAGGCAAAGCATCTCTGCCCGGTCCTCATCCAAACGGGTACGCAAATCCTTCACAACGTACCCACTTAAGCTAAAGAAGCGCTCCTGAATTGCAGTTGACAGAGGTTTAGCAAGATAGATCCTTGCTAGGACGGCAATTCCAGTAAACAGGAGTTGTTCAGACTCTTTAAACCATGCTAGTATATCCACGTTCCGATACAAGTCTAGTAAATTGTACTTGCCTGTTTGGGATGTTGAACACGGCCACGAGACATTCAAGTTCTTCCATTCGTTCCACGCGTTCATCGCTTGGGCGGATAGGTCAGCCTGGAAATCAGACATTTCCACGTTTTGAGCCGGGGCGTCGATCTCTAGTAAGGCACCCAGTGCAGTGTCAATGAGATCAGAGCTGCTTTGAGAAACCCCCGACGGCAAAGGCTCCTCACCCTTACACTCCTCGTCTACTGCTTGCCTTGCAAACAATTTCTGATAAATGAGAGCATGCTCAAATTGAAGTTCGGTCTCGGCTTGTGCAAGAACGGATGAATCACTGACAATACTATGTGCTTTATCTTTAATCCGCGGATCCAGAAGTAAAGCTTTTATGTCGTTGAGATCCTCAACTGGAAACCGAAGAGCGAGTTGCTCACGAAGACGGTCGCGACAACGTTTGCCATCCCAAGAAAACTCGGATATAGACTTTGGTGCTCGGCGTTGCGAATGCTCAGTTGCTTTTGGCCCAGGGCGATCGAGAACCAAACAATTAACTGTAGTGGATTCACCAGCAAAAACCAACATTTTGCGAAAAAGCAAGACGTACGAGCTTGCCACGCCCTGCTTTTGCACTTCGCCCAGACTAAACTGTGCGAGTTGGTTAGTCAGCCCTTCCATCTCGGTAATAAGCGTCCAATCATCCTTGGAAATGCTTGACCATACAGCCGTCTCACTGTCTAGCGCTCCTTCAAAGTACTGAGCAAAGGCATAGTGATTTAGTACACTGCGACGCATTAGCGTTACAGCGTATCCAGCTCGTGTCTTCGAATCAACTTCAATATTGACAGCTGGAAGGCTAAGGGCCTTCTTTATCTGCTTGAGTTTAGTGATTCTTTGAGGAGTGTTGAAAAACGTTGCCAAATCACGAAGCTTCTGAATAACTTTCAGACCATTTCGGAACTCCCCTCCCGGTGTTATGATACTCTGACCACGATTTCGTGTGTTTTCTTTCAGACCGAGAGCATACAACAGACACAAACTTAATAAGTGCATTAAACAATCCACTTGATCCGTACTATTGAAATGGTCGGATACGTTTCGAGCGCTTCCCGTCGTATCACTTACTGTGAATCGAGCGTACCGGTCCACATCAATGTTGTAGCGGTCTTGCATTCGTGCTTTAATAAGATCAGCAACAGTACCAGCAGCGTGGCCGTGCGGGTTTGGCATCGCCAAGAGCGAAAGTGTGACCAAGCGCCACTCTGAATCCACGAATACGACAGTCGCACCAATTATATTCATGTTCGATGCATTGGTCCACAGATCGTGCAACATCGTGATAAATGGCTGCTCTTTTGCTTTTGAAAACTCTCAGCTCAGTGTATCAGACACCAATTTGATAAGCAAGTGCCATTCTGCTTTAGCAAATATGTAAAAAGTATCTCGAGCAGGGGTCAATAGCGCAGGTTGGTGCGCCAAACGCCGGAAAAGTTCCAATAGCTCAGGGTTTTGAAGTACCGTGTGAGGCAGCCCAGAAGAAAGTAGCCATCTAGTCGACAAAATCTTCATTTGGTCAGCATTAATGGCAATTGCCTCGTGAATTGTGCGATGCTTCTTTTGGTTTGGCTGTTTTCCCTGTTCACCCGAAGCTTCACTATCATATGTCTGAATACGTTGAGCCACATCACTGGTCTTTCTCCGCTTAGTCTCCAATGTGAATGAGTGCTCCTTGTGAGCCCCCCACATGTGTTTTCTAGCGTTGGAAGATGTAGTTGGTCGCATTAGAAAGTTCCTCCACGTTGATGCGGTTCGGTCGGAGCTTTTGTGTTCATCACAGCAGACTATACAAATGTGCGTGTACGGTCTTGTGGGCTCTTTTGATCCTGGTATGGGCTGGGATAGCTTGTGGATGAATCTCCATACCGGATTGAACATGTTCTGGCAACAATGCTTGACTACCCGAGGTATACCATGCTCGTCCACACCCTCTTCATCCGTCTGTGCCGTTGCTGAGGCAGTCTGCGTCGTTCCTGTGGGGTTTTCTGCCATCGTTTGCGGCGTCTTTGTTGTAAGCTGTCGGGGGTTGCAGATCTAAATACAAAACCAGAAGCTGACTGGATACGTGAGTATAGTATCGTCAAAGATCAATATATTTGTGGAGAAGGATCAGTGATCTTGATCCCAATGATCGAGCGGTATCACGTGATACTGATACGAGTATCATGCGGATACGGTATCCATGGTATCAGGTACATCACCATTTGCTATTAACCCCTGAATATGAAGGCTTTCTTCTCTAAACGTGCATAACCTGTCTTTTCAGCTTGCATCCGAAACAGCATCGTCACTTTAATCGAGAAAATGGTAATGTATAACTAAATATCGTCTGTACCAGTGATGCCACCCAGGTGAATGTTGCTTGTGTTGGACAAGGGAAACATCACTGTAAATTACGACAAGCCGAAGTAATTTAACCCGCGTGAATGCTGTTCGAACAGACTTCAGCTTTCACGCAGATGATGCGGATGTAGAGCCTGCAGCAGATGCGTACGGCATACCGTACCGCCAATCTCTCTCTTGTGATCGCAGTGCGACTGGCACCGTGTGATCGCGTATTTACTCTGGTATACAGGACTACAGTATGATAGCTACAGTACACTAATGCTTCAAAAAGGAGCGCATGGGAACTAATATCCTTGTCATAATTATGTAGAACACAGTTACTAGTACAGGCACTTTGAGTACATATATACGGTAAAGTGTGGCAAAATGGAGCGCATGGGAGCTAATATTCTTGTAAAGTTTGAGCAGATCAAATTCAAAAGTACTCTTTTCTGGCTTTTTGAGTTTGTGTTACGCTCCTTACTGACTTTGCACATGTAAAAACAATGATGATGCAACCGCCCTACACACAGTATTGTAGAATAATTCAGAGCTTCTTTGCTACCCCCGGCTTTGTTTATAGCGTCTTAAAAGTTTAACATGGTAGCCTCTTTATCTAGTTTGAAAGTGATTATCGGCACTTATGGCCACACAATCCTCTGATATAGCAGCTACATCCAGTACTGCTGTCTAGTTTGTGTGTAATATTGAAAAGGCATTTTCTTCTGAGTGTTGAGGAACCGCGTATTGAGTTTTTTATAGGGAGAACCGCACCTTTGTACTGTAAATACTCTGTAAATGTATTTAAATCCAGAGATATTACTTACAACTACGATGTTGGCACATTTCTTCATTTTTATGTTTTGTTTAGTATTAATAACAAGTTCGTCCTTTTTAAGCCATCTATCTACTGGAGAATAGAGAAAAACTCGAGCCACGTACGTGGGAGATATATTCGTGTGCACACTTCCTGATGCAGCCACTATCGGTGTGCATGCGAACTCAAGTGCCTTCCTCTTTTTGGGTTAAAGCCATCCCGAGAACTTCTTAATGAAATGAAATTCATTCTATCATATTATCATTGGCTGGACACCATTTGAGCATTTCTGTTCGCAGAGCCCCGAAGAATACGAAAGACCACGTATTTATCGAGAAAGGGGAGGTACTTCCGATAGTGCTGTACTGTGCGTTACATCAAGCGCAGTTACAGACAATTCACTCGATAGTAATTCCTAGATCTGGAATACACCCTCAATACCAATAAAAATGCGGCTCCGATGGCCAGCTGCATACAAACTTAGGTTATTCTCCCTCTCACCCCTCAGTTGTTGTTGAAGGAATGATTTGCGCAGAGTTGTTAGGGCAGTACAGAACTGAATGATAGAGAGGATTAGGCGGCCATAGTGAAGAGGAAGTCTTGAATGTAGAAGGAGAAGACGCTTGTGTGGTAGAGTTCGTAAAAGAGGAAGTGGTGATTTAGATAGTCTGGTGTCCTGGAGGGGAGTTATTCTCCACCAACCAGTCCAGTTATATAAGAAATCTCTATATGATATAGCACAATTATATTCCCCTAGATAGTCAGCATCACATCGGAGATGGTTACTTCAACAGCCTCCCACATCGAGGAATGTGTATGATGCTCTATCTGTCAGGTGCACCACAGGTGGCTGTTAATAACAGTCCTGTGCGTACATGAACATTTACAAGAGGTAGATCTTGTTTTGATATTGACATTCTTTTTTCTTTGACTTCTATTGTCAGATTTGTCGTTTTGTTACCAGTTTTGGCAGGGGTTGTACAGATTTCTTGTTTTATTGTTATTTTGGCTACTCAGGAAAACCGTAGAGGATTAAACCTGTTCACCATAGTAGGATGTCGTTGTTAGCGCTTTTGTTGCACGCGTTTTGAAGAAAGCTACTCAGGAAAACCTTTCATTTTGAGGCGTCAAAACCTGTTCGCTGTATTGTTGGCTACTCAGGAAACCTTTGAGGACACCTGTTCACCGTGTTGATATTTAGATATTTTGTGAAAGTTGTGTTAAACTTTTGTTCATTAAACTGCCCAGTTTTGTGCTCTTTAGTTTGTGGATATTTCTTCACACTTTGAAATTTCGTATTTGCTTTTTGTTATTATTTGATTGCTTTTACTTTTGTGTGGAGAGTTTATAGTTTTCAAATATTTTTAAAGAAAGGCTACAGCTTTCAAAGCATAAAAACATATAACAGTGTCATCGGTAGTGTACGCATCTTGTTTGCAGGCTCTCATCGTTGGGGCTATTTTTCTCCCTAGAGGCTCATGGAGTTGTTTCTCATTTCGAAGATTTTTATTTTGTTTATACTTCGCAAGTGCAAGCAATATGGGAGTAAACTATCGATTCCATTGAAAATGAAACTAATGCAGTAAAACTATAGTTGCTTTCTGTAGACAGAGGCTTGTGTAGGCTTGTCTTAAAGTCATAAAGTATTGAAGATTTTTTCTTTATGCTGGAAATGTTTGAAACTTTTGCCGCAATAATTTTTTTAAGTTTGGCGAATTGAATGAATTGTTTCGGCGTTGTTGCCTCCCAGTTTCATACATTTCTGGGCGTATTTCTTAACTTGGTTAAATACCAGACACATGTTTGTATGGACAATTGCCCATTTTCATTTTATCTCTTTCTTGTTTTTTTAAGGTATATTTTTTTACAGGTCCAAAATGTAGTGGATTACCTGTTCTCAACAAGCCGTAGATCTGCATTTAGTAGACTGCTGCAGCTTTGCATTAAGCGAGGTTTTAGCTGTGCCATTCGGCCTTGTAGCTCGAGATGTACATATTTAAAATGGTATCTCATTAAGTACACATATACTAGTAGTAAATACACAGCTTGTAGCTGGAATATTTTAAGCACAGCTTTATAGCTCGCAAGTGGGGCATTTGGCCTCCCAGTATGGCGTGACACTACAGCAATGCTGCTGGTGCGTGAGGGCGGTATTTAGTTCTTCGCCTTAAATATGTACTACATGTACTTGTACATCATCAAATGCATGTACGTGTATGTGTACGTGTACGTGTACGTGTACGTGTACGTGTACGTGTACGTGTACGTGTACGTGTACGTGTACGCGTACATGTACATAGAGCACACGGCACTGTGGCCTTCTAGTACGGCTTTTCAACCAGCAGCAATAGTACAGCGCTATGGCTGGTCTGGCATCATGGCCTCACAACTCGGCAATGGCCGGTGTGGCACGGAATGTATGTGTCTCGTGCGGCGCTACAGCTCCATGGCTGGCGCGGGGGTTTCATGACCTCCCAGCATGGCGAATAACTACGCATGCTGTGCTACAGCACAGTGGCTGGAGCCAAGTTGGCAACGTGGCCTCACGCGAGTTGGTGTCCGTCGGGCGATTTCTCTCCGATCTCCTTCATGAGCCTTGGGGCTTGGAGGCGCATCGTCTTGCCGCTTTCAGCTCGTCAGTACCCTGGCGAAGCGTTGGGCTGATAACCTGTTGAAGGAATGATTTGCGCAGAGTTGTTAGGGCAGTACAGAACTGAATGAGGACAAAGGTAGAGAGGATTAGGCGGCCATAGTGAAGCGGAAGTCTTGAATGTAGAAGGAGAAGACGCTTGTGTGGTAGAGTTCGTAAAAGAGGAAGTGGTGATTTAGATAGTCTGGTGTCCTGGAGGGGAGTTATTCTCCACCAACCAGTCCAGTTATATAAGAAATCTCTATATGATATAGCACAATTATACTCCCCTAGATAGTCAGCATCACATCGGAGATGGCTACTTCAACAGTTGTAAAAGGAATACAATATCAGCCAAGTATTTAAGTTGTGAGAGATAAACTATGAGAAAGTCCCAATACGCCAGACGGCCAGCATAGAATAGTAGCGGCTCCAATATATACCTTCACGAGCGTTTCTGGTCGTTATTCCACTGATCTCCTCATATATGATTCCTTATACTCGTCGACGACATTCCTTACGAACGAAAAACGTTAACAACTCAGCCCCGTGACAACCCTGGATACAACAAACCCGTTCGAAAGATCAAATGTGGTGGCTGCTACGATGTTAGCCAGCTGTTTGGCAGCTTTGATATGTATAACCAACTTTGAAGGTTTGGCAGTCTTTATAGGGCTAATTTCTGCTGGTTTGACTATCGGTAAACTATGATCCGTTTTTATGGTACTTAAGCTTACATACGGATAGGAATCCCCTTTCACTCCTTTCGGTCCGATTGGGGGGGGGGGCAACGATGCTAAATTGGAAGAAAAAACGATGTCCCGACGCTACCACCACCGAGGGGATTGTCTACACATAGACGCTATAGTATCACAGAGCATATCGTGATGGTAGAAAGGCACCGATTCCGCACTCGACACGTACGTACGTACGTACTGTATCAAACCAAACGGTGGCTGGTCTCAGTGAGACCAGCCACGCATCTGTAATACATGTACCGCACGGCACGGCACACCGCTACATAGAGTATATTATATTAAAATTGAAACATCTCAGCATTTTGCGTCTCATTAGCCAATTTGTTTGCAAGCCTATTCTCAGCCCTCCCCAGGCCACATGCGCGTGCTTTATACCGTTTTAATTGTCACGACGATGCTTCTCTCAGCTGCGAATGCTGCACCTATGACCACGAGCTCCGACAAGACTTCGCTTAAGAAAATCAAAGGTGATGACGCAGTTGATGTGGACGGACAACGCCTTCTAAGAAGCAACAAGTCGGCCAACAAAAGCATGGACCCGAGTGATGAGGAGAGAGATGGATTCCATTGTAGAGGAGGTTGATGAGTTGATCGAGCAACACAACCATATCAGAGAATTGTTTGGAGAGTTTTGTCTGGAAGGCAAAACACCGGAAGAGATCGCGAAAGGTGACACACATGATAAGAAAGCGGTAGAACTCTACAAGAAGTTTTACGCCTATCATTCCGAGCATCATGCGAATGACCAGAAGCAATCACGGATTGAGTGTAAGTTCTCTAAATAATAGCTACGCGCTCAGCCGAATTGCTGTTTCATTGGAAAATGAATGGCATCAAGCACCCCAGTGATCCTCGTGCCGAAGCCCATCTGGACACAATCGTCACTACCGCTTCGGGTTGTTGGTGAGCCGAAGGTGGAGACACGGAATAGGAAGACGTAGCCTAGCCCAGAAGTGTCCAAATTTCATCATGCTTCATCCGAAAAGTGCTCTCGGTGAACTGTCGAAGCTTAACAGTAAAAAAAAACCGTCTCCACTGGCGCATTTTACATTGGCTGGCAGCACACCCCACTCCAAGTCGCTATAGGTATGCTGTAATGGTACGGAAATCGGCACTGTGATAGGAAACCGTTGATAAGGCGCAGCTATCAATTGGCGCTGGGCTATCGGAACTCTCCTGGTTATGCTGCATAGTCACGGTATTTTTCATACACTACTGGCCAACCCCTTTTTGTCCTGTAGCTCAGTCAATTTTTATCATTTTAAGGTGAGGTTTTGGTAGTAGTTCCGAAATACGTGGCCACGTTTTTGCACACGTAGCTCACAAAAACTGCGTCAAACAAAATGATACTTATGAACCTAAGTACGAATCGCGATTCTAAGGCGTCTCCTCTATCTTAAGAAATTGTGGTCGCAAAAAAAATATTATTTCCATTTATGGGCCCTCGAAATGACGATACATTTAGTGAGCTCAATATTTTTTCAATTTTACAAATTCAAGTGTTTTTTAAAAGCTCTTGTTAAAAGCAATTGAATTAGGGTAGTTCTATTGTCTTTTCGATGGAAGTTTACAATAAATATCACTACTTCGGTTAAGTGCGAAAATCAATTCGCCAACTTTAAGCTCGATAACTCTAAATGGTTGATATGTGTCATTTGGTTTGACGCAGCCTCAAATACATAAATAAAATCTATATCACTAGTAATTCAATACCTGTTGAATCTGATTGAGCTGACTGAAGATTTGTAAGGGAGGCAACATCTCCTCCGCGTAAAGACTTGGCTGGGTCCAGTGACGCTGCGTTGATGTTGGCAAAGAACGAAGTAATCTAAATATTGCTACAACTGCGCAGGGAGGCGTGACAACGTGCGGTCTGGGGCATAAAAGTTGCTTTCAACCATGTTGCGCAGTCATGATTTTTCTTAGGCAAATCGTGCGGATAGTGCAGCATTTCAGCTTCAACGCTGTTGCGATTTTCATTTCTCTCTCAATACCGTTTCAAACATGGCATCACTACTCCTTTCCGCCCGCTATAATATCTGCATTTATAACATGTTGTTTGTAATATCACTAAAGCTCTTGATGGTCACATTGGAATTCATAGTGTTCCGTGCGAAAAAGGTACTTATTAAATTATATCGACCGTTGGGCTCCATCCGAAATCCACATCCATCTATGGATATCACCCTGAGGTTGGAAACGCAAAATCTTATTAGTATCATCTACTTGTAATACTCTGGTATTTCTTTTCCGATCGAAAATAACTAAGGCAAGTCTATAAAACTTTATCTTCTTTAGAAGAAGCATTAACCACTTGAGTCTTGCTCTGTGGTCTCCTCGTGAAATAAATGGTTTTACTTGTATGGTACTCGATGCTTGCTTGGAGATCCAAGACAGCAGGATTCAGTAGCGAAGGTCGCATTCGTGAGCGACCAAGTGCTCTCTTTGCTAGAAGAGGACATGGACCTATCCACTATGATGAAAATAGCAAACAAAGAGCTGCTAAAGCAAATTGTTGTGCACGTGGCCGCTTGGACGACATTAAGAATGCGACGGAACAGTCGAGTATGATAAATAATACTATTCATGCTTGCATACGGCATGCATAAAGCAGCAAAACGAGCTGTTGGAAATTCACGTTTGTAAAGCACTTCAGGATAACAAACATCGGACGTTGACAGATGACGAAACTAGATGGCTTGAGATCACGCTTACAGAGACTACGTACGTTAGTGATGCAAGCACTGATTTTAAGAATTACCTGCAGAGGTGCTGTGAGATGTACTGTGAAGACCCGACAGTATTTATGGGGCCGTGCGTGGCTGTGATACAGAGTTCTGGCTTCGGTAAGAGTCGATTGATATTGGAGCTTGCACGAATGTCAAAGGACGAAGTATCCACGATGAAAGTGTTGCATACGTGTAATCGCTACCACGGGTCAGCATGATACCCTAAGGCTACGAAGAATTTCGCGAGTGTTTATTTCATAATAAGTCATCAGTGGTACAGCTTGCTAAGCAATTGAAAACGATTTACTACTATACAATTAAGCACTGGGAGACGGTCCAACTTGAGTGGTTCCAATTGCTCACGGATAGACGATGGATGAGTATATGGTAGCGAAGTTTCAGCGGACAGTGTTTTCTGAAGAGGATGAAGGATTCGAATGGGAAAGTTGTGGTGTTGGTGATTGACGAAGCAAGGATTCTGCTAGAAGGCCTAGTAAATTACTGGTATATGCTGCAACGGGCTCCCGTTCGTGCAAACAAAGCTGTAGGTGCACGAACGGGAGGCATTGTCGGGGCCCTGGTAGGTACGAGCCCTCAAATATTCATCTCCAACGTCAACGTAACGTGATTTTGGTGACAAGGAACTGGTATCGTTTCCTACTTTTGTGCTGGGCCATACGATGGATATATTGTGGCAAGAGGATTGTCGACTTGGCAGGGAAGGAGGCGATGACAAAGAGGAGGGTGGATTTTTTTTAATGATATTTTTGGCTATTTTCTATGTCATGTCATTTCGGTTTCTGTTTATGACATTTTGGATATTTTATAAGTTGAGGGGCTTAATTGTATACAGCTAGGAATGCGATTGCTTCCATGCACGGGTTTTCTGTATATTTTTAGGTGATTTTAGAGTTTTCTGTTTGATGTTTCTAGACTAAAAATGCATTATACAGGCAGCTGCTGACCTATAACGTAGTACGCTTCTAGTTGGGTGTTGTGTCCCATCTGGTACAAGCAGTTAATCGCCCTTGCCAGTTCTTCAGCCCCAAGGCGATGGCTTCCTCTCATTCCTCAAGTTCAATGTTTCAGAATCGCTTACCGTCTCTCATTAAAGGTGGCTTAACTTCCCCAACGTGGTTGAGCTCTGTTCCTTCGCCTTTCGTCGTTAGTTAAATAATCGGCCATCCGAATGCTCCGTTTGATGGCACTATTGGGCTTATCCACCGATTGCTTGATCAGCTAGTCTACAGCATACTGCGACTTTAGAGGCCTGTCACGATCCAGTCGTCTTGTCTTTTTCCGAGGTCGTCCAGGTGACTTCCGAGCCGGTAGGTTTCGTAGCATAACCGGTAGGTCTAGGAAGTCTACGATGTGTAGACATGCCAAAACGTGAGCACAGAGCCAGCCGATTTGGTACAACCGCATCAGTCGCACTTGAACTTACAGTGAATCATTTTGATCTCGTCGTTGCTCCAGGGAGGGTTGCTTCAATCGTGGTCGAACGGAATTCGCTCTAACCTTTCCACGACGTGAATAAACAAATAGCGCAGCTCGATGTTCGCCACCTTCTCGTTTTGCTTGATCTTACCTCTGAGCGAGGCTTTGTAGGTTCTGGTTCGATTGCCGTTAGGCTTAAGGCCGTGAAGCCACAGCCATCTGCAAATCTTGTGCGCTTACTGGGCCAGACGCACAATGCCTGATAGGCTCAGAGCCAATGTCCATAGCACATTCGACCAAGATTTTAGGCAAACCTCCAGCCAGAACATGCCCCATCGCTGCTCGAAGATGACTTACTACCGTGACCTTGATTGCTCAATTATGGGATTCAATCAGATTTTGGTTTCGCAGCACTCCAGCAGTATCACTTGCAGTATAGAACCACAAATCCCAAGGGTCTGTCAGGTATTCATCTCTAAGCCACTGTGCGTACTCGGCTTTACCCAGCGTCTTCCATTTTTTGACCACTAGATCGGATAAAACCTCGAAATGGCCAAGCGAGCGCGCTTCGCTGAGGTAATAAAGCTGCGGCTGAATGATTTCTTGGTAGCGCTCACTTGAAGACAAAATAAATTATGCCTTTGGCATTGCGATACCAATGTGGCCAGCAGCTCATAAGTTTAATGTTAGGCCAGACTTGGCAAAAATCACTTGCGATAGCGGCAGAGTGATCCATTGATCCGTTAATAAGCTTCAAAGCTCCCAAAAAAAAATCACATTTGGCCCTGCAGACAGTAAAAAGCCGTGCATATGCGAAGGCTGTTTCCGTCAGAGTGAACATGAACGCCATTGGGTAGAACTTCTGTTGATACTTGTTCCGTGCTATGTAACGCACGGCATAGGTACCGAGCGAAACTAGTGTCCATCAGCCAAAGGGATCATATAAGTACCATCCGTACCACCAAGCTCTTCCGGGGATCTGTCGATCAAACGTTGGCCTAGTACTTGCCTAGTAGCCGTCTTGAATAATCGCCTGGACGTAAAGATGATTCCGACTGAAACTGCTCTATTTTCTAGAGGATCTGTTAGGCAATACAGTACAAGTAGCTTTTGCTGAAAGTTGAATGACTGCCGACAAAACCACAATACATCCGTGCCTTAATCATACTCGAGGTGTTGGTGAAATTGCTCAAGCCCTGTGCACATTATTGGAGAGGCCCACTTCATCACGTCGGCGTATTTTGTGATTGATAAAGCTTCACTTTTTTTAGTCTCTGTGGCCGATTCTTCAGCTGCTTGACACTACAGTAGGGACATCGCACGAGCTTCCTAGGGTATATCTATGATCGTGTCCAACGAACTAGATTGAAGAGTTAAGCCATGCTGGAGAACAGTCCAACCTTGGCAAATTTGGTCGGACTTCACAATTATACTGCATGAGCTCGACCAACGTTTTGCTGTTTTGGCACAATTATTGGTGGTAACTTATTTTTAGTTAGGCCTTTGTCAAACAAATATAAAAAGGCACAAAAAGCACTGTTGCTTAAAAGTAAAGCATTCGCTTTATTTTTTCGCTGCGATTTTTTATCTACGCCAGGTCAAGCTTTACCAAAGCAAGATTTGGGCTGACCTCCGGCAATTTTCCGGATGCGATTCTGTCTTCAATGCTTTTAGCTCTCTTGACCAATTGGACCATCTGAGTGCGCCCGGCAAGGTTTAAGCGCGTCATCGTACGAAACCTAGTGAGAACCGTCAGGATCAAACATTAAGTGTGGAGGGTATCGATACAGTACGTACCCACAATCGGTGACGCACGCTTTCCGACCAATCGTCATAGAGGAACGATATTACTTTCGAGTGCTTTTTTTTTCGGAAATCGAGTGCACCGTTAGTTTTTTGTTCGAAAGGTGTGAAACCGAGTGTCCCTTGTTCAACTTGAGAGAATGACCGAGTGCACTGCTGAGGTTAAGGCTTGAGCACGGAAGAAGATGCGTCAAGGCTCTGCCTTCATTAGTTCAGACGTAGCTAATGTAAGCTATTAATACATGTTGCAGCAACGATAAGCAGGCGGAAGACATCACCATGATTGGCACAATTCAAGCCTACTCAAGTCGGGGTGGTAGATATAGATGGCTTGTCGACTTCGAGGGAGGCAAGCAAGTCTTCCTAGAGGGCCAGGAATTGGTGCAGCTGATCGTAGAATCAAGACGTACTGGCCTCGATGTTACGAAGAGTGCTGCCGCCCACGCAAGCACACACGAATCGCATCCCCGCAGTGTCGACCGTGACGCCGACGACGATCAGGACTTGGACAGCTAAGACGATCAGGAGTGACAGTTGGCATTGAGCATGTGAACGTAGGACTGGACTAGCGGAGCTCAGCGTACCTTGTGTAGGAAGTGAACCAGGATCCAAGGCTCATTAATGTTTTCTTCTCACAAATACATGTATTTTTCTCCTTTTACATCCTGGTGAGCTCTGCATCCGGCCCCAAGGACAGTGTAGTAAATTCAAACAAGCATGGACCGGACAAGACAAGTATAGAGCCGACGATATCGCCATGTGTTATCTGCACTCGGTATTCCGCCATTTCGTGGCAAAAATGTCTGCACTCGAAAACCTTTCAGCGTGCACTCGAATACCATCCGCGCCCCGTCATAGATGGTGTTGCTTCTCATCAGGTAGCCGAAGCATTTGTATTTTTTGGGGTCTTCGCCCTTGGGGCCGGCTTCTGAAAACTTGATCTTACCGAGATCGTATGCAAGTTGAGCATTGACCTGCAAAGACACGAGTTAGCTGTAATTGACAGCAGACCAAAAAATAGACAAAAGATCACCACATACTCCTCCTTCTTCTATGACCTCACGCAACGCCGCCTTTTTGACCTTCTCGCCTGTGTCCCAGCCTCCCTTTGGCAACAAAGAGTCACTCTTCGTCGGATTCGAGCTTGAAATCAATAGAATCTGACGCTCTCCTTGATCGGTCGTCCGTGCTATCACGCTAGCTGACAGCCACCAACTTTTGTCTTTGTCATATCTCTGGGTGTTGCGGCCGACATGAGACGACTTAAATTTTTCAGGAGCCATTGTCATTCCCTCAAAGGGTGTAATTTGCCTTCGCATGCTATTCGGAGTCGTCTTGGAACCCTTGATACCTTTTGCGGGGTCCCGTTACTGCAACCTAATTACGACAAAACGACAGGTCTTGCAGCAACCTACCAGCCTCCTGTACACAAGAAGCAACCCCCAGAAGCAACACACGGCGTAATTTATTTTAGGGCTTCCTTCTTTTGAGAAATAAAATACCGGAACTGTGAAAGTTCCATAAGCCATTTGACAAATATCACAGTTGCCCAAGAGGAATAGCGGCTGTTGGCGCACACACAAAATGGACCAAGGCAGCAGCAAACACTTCGACGGCATTTGCTCCGATCAACTGCCACCGCCACTGTCCCCCCCAACGCTACAGCCAGGAAGTAATGAAGGCACCACTCTCTCGCGTACTCGAAAGGCTATGGTTTGCAAGCAAATGCTGCGCTCTCGCCTCCAGAATATCAAGCTGATAGAAGAAAAGCTGGAGAAAATCTCACAGTTTTCACTAGAGCTTATGAATGAACGAGACGAGTTGGCTCTGATGATAGCTCACGAGAAGGAACAGACTATCCGCCTTGCCGCCGCTGCTGGAGTACCTACGCACGAGACAGGCTACGTGATGTCGTTCTCAGTGGCGCTCGAACAGTGCTGCGAAGCTCTATTAGAGCACATTTAAATAAGCTTAATACAAAACTCACAGGAAGAAGACGAGACGACGTAACTATTTAAAAAATCGATACCATTTGGCGAAGGCAACTGCTCGTGTTAATGTGTTATGGTCGCAAGTAGCTCCAAGTCAGTCGCCTCTATCTCCTTAGCAATTTGGTTTGCTACAGTGTTAACTTCTGGTTGCATAACTATCATCCACATGATACGAAGCCGCATAATTGCGATATCGTCTGTTGTAACGGCACCTTGTGCAAGCTGGAAGCTGTCCTTCAACACGGAATAAACTTGGGCAATAGTCAGCACACCACACGAAGTTCCATCGGGCTCCTTTGGCGACATTAACCATACTTTACTGTTCTCCACTGGATAATCTTCATTCGGCATGGTTTTATCATGCCACTCTTTCAAAAATGGCACAACCGTAGACGTGTAAGTCGCTTCCATCGTATCGCTATACGAAGATCCGCACATTGACTCGTAGTAGTAGGGTGTAAAGCACGGATCTTCTCTTTTGTAAGCAATGGCGACGATGACGACACCCCAATGGATGTTGCTTAAATGCAGAGGCAACACAAGGTAGTGGAAGCTTGAAATCCGTGACGGTGGTGGTTTCGGACAGCCCATAGTTGGAGAAAATGAATCCAATGCGTAACAATCTCCCAGCGCATCGCAGATGCATCGAACACTGAAATTGATAATGACATCAGAGAGCATTCTGTCACGCGCAAGCATTCCAACGAGCGTGTCGACCTTAACGGCGCCTTCACCACTTGATAGTCGGAAAGAGAACTTAAGCAAGCACCCTCGAGCTGTACCACCACTTCGTTTGCCAGCTCCTGATGTTTTTCCCCCGCCGACAGTAAGAATATGTCGTCCGAGTCAGTCTCCGCTTTAAACAACTCGGGGTTTGCAAGGATATTGCTCCACTTGGTCGTTTGCAGCCATTCCATGTCAGCTCTCCATGCGTTAATTTTTTTTACCACGTTGTAAAACTCCGACATTTTGAAGACGGCTTCACTGTTGTAACAGATTCGTACAGCAGCCAACAACATTGTAGAAGCAAGTCAGTCACAGCAACACACCAAGCAACACACCGAGCAACACACCGAGCAACACTACAAAAGCTTACCTTGTAAATCGTGGCGTTCCACCAGGAAAATATGCAATAATTGCTTCGGTGTTGCTGTCCTGGTGCTCAACCACGGGGTTGAAATACTTCGACTTGGGTCGCTTCTTCCGTTCTGCTTCAATGACCGCTTTCAGCTTAATTACTAGCGGTTTGGGAATTACAAAGTTGTAGACGTAGTCCTTGGGAGACACAGACTCTCGACAGCTGTGTGCAACACGCGCATTCATGAAATCGTCGTCCAAGATCGTTGGGTAACCTGCCAAGATCTCGCTGACACGATTCTGGTCGGAAGTATTTGTTGCCCACACGATGACGCGAGACACAGATGGCACATGTTTGTCCGTTAACGTAATAACGGCTAGCTTATTAGGCTTTGCGGGTTTCTCCAGCCGAGCTTGCTTTAGTTTTTTTCGTTGGTTGCTTCGTGGTTTGGGTTTTTGAATACGTAGCACTTCCAGACGGCCTCCTTGTGTTCCAACGTTTTTCGATATTTTCTTGTGCGCTTCTGCCTTTACAGCAGCTTTTGGGGGGTAATCATTCTTCACACTGGGTGGTTCTTCCGTAGATTTTACCGTGACCGCGGCTTTTGTCGGGTAATACTTCGTTAATCCGGGCTTCACGCCCGGATTCACCGAAGTGGAGGTGGCGATGTCAATGTCACTGGATGGAGCTGTTTTATTCCGTGAGGTTGAACTACCAAGCTCACTTTCCTGCGACGACTCGGCCCTTTTAGTATTTCTTTGCAGAACAAACTCACTTTTCTCCATTTCACCAATGAAATTCATAGTTTCAATGAGATCTGCTGGTGTTATGTCAGACGTAGTGTCGATAGCATCCAAGTCTTCTCCTGATCCGTCTTCATCTGGCACTGGTGTAGCGTCTGATGTTTGCTCTTCGGCTGATCCAACGTCGTGTAGACCTTTGTTAACTATTGTTTTCCAGGCCTTCAGGGCGGAGTAGAATGCTGGACTCGACAATTCCGCTAGATGTTCCATCACAGGTTCAAACACAGCTTTTGCATAGCAGTATTTCTCTTCTGATGACAGTACAACAACGTTGGCACGCTCTCGGCGCCGCATCTTTACATATACGACACGGCGTTTATGCTTACGCTGGGCTTCACCGCCACTTCGATCAATTTTTTCTTGAGTTGAGTCATGGGTTGCTTCTTGTGTTGCGGAATCATGATGGGTCGCTTCGACCATCTCGACCGAATCAAGTTGTGTTTCGATCGCGTCCGCTCCCGCTTTCTTTTGAGTCAAACCATCATGTTCATAAGCTGCACCTGCTACTTTCATCGAGGCCTCCACAGCTTGAAGCGATGATATACCATCTCTGAAATCTTTCTCCAGCTCCTCCATCGCCATCATATCCCAGCGCGCGTGAACAGTCATGGCAGGTAGATACTCGAAACGATGGACATGCTCAGCAACATACATCAAGTGCTGACACGGTAGGTTGTAACTGCAATAGAATGAGCACGAACAAGTCCACTCGAAATCGTTACATTCGTATGTGTAGCCATTGGATCTCACGTTCCACATACCAGCTCCACCTTTTTCCTTTGTGCACGTAGTGTCAATCGAATAAACCATAAAATAGTCCCATTGAGAGCGTACTTTAGTCAATGAATCGTGGCTTAAGTGCTTAGAAACGATACTTAAAAATTCTGGAACAGTTCCCGGTAGACGAGAGGTAGACGCATGCTTTCCCATCGTAGAAAGAACCAGCCGAATGATTGTTCTTTGATGTGCCAGCAGCCCGCTGATTGTCGCGTCGAGTCGAGGTCTTTTGCCCAGAAGAAGTTTTACCTGGTTCCAGTTTGATTCGATTCGATTGGTAGTGGTATTACCAGCTGAGAAATATTCACTTCGTACGTGATTTGCCCACATTGACACGCACGTTTTCCAGTTTGCCGAGAAGTATTCGAGTAGCTCGGGGCACTCTTTCTTGGAGACTTTCGTGAACTCAGCCAGCTCTAAATCGAAGCTCCTCCGACTTGCACTGAAAGTACATTCGAAACACCACCCAATGTCATATTCAGCAACACACGAAGCAACCCAGTGAGTCAGATACATAAAGAGCAACACAGTCAGTCAGCAACATAAGAAGCAACACAACATATCAGTGAGCTGCTCCGTACCAATAGACGAGCTTTGCGAACGCAGCTTCCATCGTTTCCCGCTGTGCCATCTTCAGGTTAAATTTTGGTCTTCTGCAAACTTTCCTCCAGTACGTAAGCGCGTGGAACTGACATAAAAGTACTTTGGTGTGAGGGAACGCCTTCTCAAGCACGCGCCATTCCACAAAGTCTTTGTCGATAACAATTGTCTGGATTCGCTTCCAAAATGGGTTGTGGCGCTTGAAAAACTCAACAATGTACTCCATCGTAACAGCCTTTTGATCTAGTGCCAGAAAATCAATAATCGGGATGCCTCTTCCAGTAGCTGACGTAACTACCAAACTCCCTGTGTACAATTCATTCATATAAATTGTAAGCAGTTGCTAGACGAAATGAATAATAATTTATAAATATCATACTAACCCAAATGATACCCCAAGTTGTTGGTACCGTGCGTCCAGTCCATTACCAAGCTGTCGCCCCACTGCTCGAAGCATGTCTTCTGAAGCGATGTCTGCATAGCTATGACACAAGCAATCCCCATCTGATCTTGCACAAGAAGAACGTCGTTGTTGTCCTCCTCCACAAATGTATCCAGTAGCACCCTGGTCCGCTCCACTGTTGTAGATCCCAACACTTCTTGCAAAATGTTTCTAGTCTGCTGTGAAGTCAGAACCATATCTGTTAAAGCAAAAATAAAACAACAATGTTAATTTAAATTGATAAAACAAACTTTGACTGACACATCCTCGTCACGGTCACCAGAAGCACCCACCAAGCTTATCAGAAAGATATCGGTTGATATCTGCAGTGCTGGCCTTCATGTCTGCCAATAGTCCAAGATCTTCTCGAACCTTGGACGACAGAGGCATCGACTTAGCTCCGCGGTACGAATCGTAAATAGTCTTGCTGGTTTTGTGGTTGTGCTTCGATATCTACAGAAAACGATAATGTGATAAGTCGGTGCTCACAAACGAAGCACATAATGTCAAACATTCTTACCTCCGAGTCCAATTGAACGGCGACTTCCCATTTGGAAACTCCTTTCTTTACAACTTTTGCTGATCGAATCGTAAAGCTTGCCTCGCACCCGGTGTACCTCCAGCCATGGTCTCGTCGACCTTCCCCACGTGGTGCTTGCATTACCCCGTGCGTACACCGCATCCGCTTAAAACTGTGCGATAGACGCTGCGGAATGGGTAGAGCTCCTGGGCGGCTAAGCAACACGAAAGCAACACAACAATCAAAATAAAATAATAAAAGCGTTAGTATATCCTATCAAAACACCACTCGTCAACCCCACTTGAAGATTACCTGTTGTGTTTCTCCCGAGTTTCAGAGCTTCGATATGGTAATGCAGAAAAAATTCTGCCTCGTACCTTTCGAGTGCTGTCTGAAACTCAGTCCAGTTGTTGAATGTTTTGTCTGGAAGCTCTGGCACAAAGTTATCCACAGGCTTATGCGCTTTCAGCATCTTCTTTCGCTCTTCCCACGTTTTAGTCTTTCGTTGAGGTAGGCGCCGTCCCGCCGACACAGGCAGAGAGGAAGTAGCATGGCGGGGTTGTCCCCCATAATTAAACTTGGAACGCTTGGGTGGAAACGCAGCTGTTACTGCGTTATCACAATCCGAATCTTCGTACTCCGTTCGAGACTTTTTCTTTTGCGGTTTTGACTTCGACCCCGCAGTTGACTGACAACTTGTTCTGGAATTGATTGTAGCAGTTTCAGCTTCGGCGTTCTGTCGGGTGATTGTCACAAACTGGCGAACCGCATCTTTAATATCAACAGCCACAAAAAGTTAGCAACATCCCAAAACAACACACAAAGCAACACAATGAAGCAACACAGCAAGCAACATACCGAGGCTGACTTGACTAGCAGGTCTTTTTCCGACAGGTGCCGTAGTTCGTGAGTGTACGCCGTCTGCGCTAACGGTGTCTCCGCCTGCGGCGTCTGCGCTAGCGGCATCTCCGTCTGCGGTGTCTCCGTCTGCGGCAACTCCGTGTGCGGCGTCTCCGTCTGTGGCGTCTGCGCCTGCGTCGTAGACCTCGTCCTCGTTCACCAGACCCTCCATGTCAGCATCTTCATTCATCACATCCGCTTGGGTGGCTGACGGGTCATCGATATACATATCATCGTCCACAGGGTCCGTGGTGAACCCTTGAGCAGCGCGGACGTAGTCGACTGGCTTGTGGTATCGCAAACCAGCACGACGTTCTATAAGCAAACAAAATATCGTCAGGTGGCGGAAGCAGCACGAGTACCACGATGACTTGAACCCGTACCTCCATCTGTAGAGCCGTCTTCTCCTTTCGCTGGCGCTCCCTTTGCAGACATCCTCGCCGGGGCTGCGGCCTCCACTCCCGCTTTCTTTACTTTAAAACGGGGGGACCGTGGGATCCGTACTTACTCGAACAAAGTTAGAAATTCGTACTTACTCGAACATAGTTATCACAACATTTAAAAAAGCGGCTAGTACACGGTCGGCATCGGGATTGGTTTTTGCAACGCCAATTCTATCGAAGTTTAAATTCTTCGAGGTAGCAGCGCAGCTTGACACGAACGCAATGAATGCGATCAGCAGTACCATTTGCATGCTGGATCGACTGTACGTGTTGGGCTTGGAAGAGTAAGGAATGAAGTGAGACTCTGAATAGGATTTCGACTGTGGAGATGTAGTGATCGCAGGGCTTCCGATGTTGACCAATCGAAAATTGTCGTCTTGCGATTACGTTTACGATGTCCATACACGTAAACGTTTACGGTAAGCAAGGGCAAACAAATTTTCAAGTTATGTAGAAGGATCACTGTGGGAGACTATGACTTATGCATAACATTACTTTAATAGTACATATTCTTTTATTTAATATTTCGTGGACGACAGGTTGAGGATCTCTCTCCAATCGCTTGCATCTTAAACTACTATTAATTAAACGATAATACAATTGATGTCTTGGTGTTTCTAGTCGTTTATGCAGCAGGCGCATTGGCAGACCTAGTTAAGCCCAAACTCACAATAAGATTTAAAAAACTACCACGACGGCGGTAGATCCCTGGCGACACCGAAGATCGCAAGCAATGGATAAAGACTACATGTATGCTCAATACCTGGACGATTACTACAGTATGCTCTTGCGCTTACCGTAAACGCTTTACGGACATCATGCACGGCAACAAAGCCTTCAAAAAGCCTCGCTGGCAAAGCATTTAGCGTCGACTGCGCCTGGCGCAGTTGCCGAATTGCAAGAGACTCGAGCTTGCGTCATCTTCTACAAACGCACAGCGGACGCTATCGCAAATGTGACGATAGACGGAAGAATAAGTACGTCCTGTAGGAGTCCTAAAATCTGTTTGTCCTACAGTAAAACCACCGCTAGACATGAAGATTCTTTAATTATTAATTGAGACAACTATTATTTCATGACACATTAGATTTTTTAGGACTCATTTAGAACGTATTATTCGACATCGAACCTGAAAGCCTTTCAAGGCTGAAAGGCCGGTATTCAGCAGGTTAGCAGATCGCAAGGAGAGTGATGCTTTCTCACCTCAAGAACGACGTTGCGATATTTATTTTCGATGAGGCGACTGCGGTTGGGGCCCGGGGAAACAGGGGGGGGGGGCTGAGCGGTTCCTAGAGATACGTATTGTAAATTCCGATTAAATTTGCCAATTCTCCGGCCTGGGTTGAATCTCCCGATACAAAAAGCAAGCTTTTCGAAAATCAACACACTGTTTCGGATGCTACCCTGCTGCTCCATTTAAGTCCGATGTCGTACCTAATGTGAGTAATAGAGAACTCAGGTGCTCGCGCTTGAAAACCTTATTTTGGAGCAATATTTAAAAGTGTTACTGGGGAGACATCGTTTACCATCTGTCATCGCGCGTTTTCATTTCATTTTTCAGTGAGGTGCATTGATATACACTTAATCTCACCCATAGGTAATTCTTATTCACTAAAAGTAGACTTCTCTTGCCTATGTATTGTCGAAGTTTTCAAGATGGGTTGATTGTACATGTAGACCCAAAATCCGATCAAATCGGCTGAAGATTGTTAAGAAGTGGAACAAGTACAGGATGGAGGACAGTTGTTTTATAGAAGGTGGCAGCTTTTATAGAATTGTAAACGTGGAGTGTCGAGCAGAATTGTTGATAGTATCGCGGCGGTAGAGTGGTAATTACTCGACTCCCCGTACTGTGTGTTTCTGTAAGCTCGATATTTCCGGACGTAACCTATTCTCAATTTTACCAGTTTCAGCCCGAAAACTTAATATTATGATGTTCTTTTTGTTAAAAATTATGGTTAGAGAAAATTGCAATGGTCCCTAATCGATGTACTCGCAAGGTCCTATTATCCTTCAAAATTAACTAATTGGCCTGGTGCTCGGTTCACAGCTCTTGCATGACTGAGGTGGTTCCATACCTTTCATCGAGTGCCAGTACGGCGAATAGGCAAACTTCTTCTTGCATTTCTGACATTTCCGACGCGTCTTCCGCTCACTTTTACTATCACACGGCTTACAATACACCTCACGTCCTTTGCGATAGGCTGCAGTGAAGTCGCTGTGCAGCACCGTGGTAATATCACCACACAGCGGACAGCTGCACGTCATCTTCTTCTTCGTCGCCTCTTTGGCTTCGTCTTCTTCCCGATTGGTAGTTGCGGACTCATCAATACACTTTGACCCCAATTCGGAATGCTTAAGTGGCTTCAATCCCAGAGCTCTGCACGCTGATTTACAGTCGTGGGTGGCAAAGAAGGCGGTCATTCCTACATCCGACAGATTCCCACATCCAAACTTGCCGTCCTTCGAGTGGATCTGTGGGTCTGTGAAAATACACCCAACACCCTGAAGATCCACGACCATAAGCTGACCAAACGTCGTCTGCCATGTGAAATGACTGAATGCCTGAGCCGTCTCGCTTAAATCCAAGCCGTCATCTCTAATCCAACCATTGTTATTGTTGTACTTCTTGTACTCTCCGTCAATGTACGGCTCAGCAGTGAACATGGCCATAGAACGGCCCGAGCCTGTTTCCAATGGATTCTTGATCTCGTACCAGCAGGTGGAGATAAAATCCACACCTCTCTCCACTTTTTCGGATGCCGAGAACGCTGTGGCAAGATATTTGGCCACAATCTGCATCTTGACATCGTTCTGTAACGAGTGTTTCGAGGTCGACGACGAACGTGCAGCTTTACCATAGTAGCACTTCGCTACCAAACACGTCCCCATGTTGCAATCATACAGCGCATGTGCCGATCTCATGGCACCAATTGCAAAACAGCTCTGAGCCAAGCGTATCTTGGTGTCTTGTTGCGTGTGCTTCAGGTTCAAGTTCTTCCAGTCAACCGGTTCACCTGGTCGGAAATGAAGCGAGTGACGGACAGCATCGACGTCAGGAGAGTTTTTAACCTCGGCCCAGTTTAGCGGCTTCACCTCGGGAGGCACCACAACTACTGGTGGCTTCTCTTCTTCGTCGTCTCCTTCCAACACGTGAGATAATTTTAAAGTGGGGCGACCACTTTTTTTAGTGTCCAGAGCTACAGCGAACTGGGAGCTTGCGAGTACGCTTCTCTCCTTGCTCGCTGAAAGGGAAGAGCTTGCCGAAGACCGGACAGAACTTGCGAAACGAGCTGCATCTCCTGCTTTCGACAAAGAAACTCGCCGAAAGTCGCGCCCAAATCCATCCAAACTTTTGGCTTTGTCATATTCTTCCCAGAGAATCGTCACCATCTTCGCCGTGTAGTTCGGTTGAATCTCAATTATAGTAAAATCAATTCCACGTCGTACCATTTCTCTCATTTGAGCGCAAATATCCGGGCTTTGCTGAATTTGGAATAGATATCTTCTGTCATCTTCTCCGTCGTTAAATCTGCTCCCATGACATGGTGAGTCACCTACAAGTACGATTCGCCTCGCTTGAGCATTAAATGGCATGGCTAGCGCTGCTTCAAGTCCGCCAGGAATGTCTTCGGGACCATCGCCACCGCCAAAAGCTGCGAGTCGAAAAATGAATTTACGCACAGCTGCAACATCAGATGTCAAATGATAAACTTGCAGTCGTTTTACGCCATCACAAAAATCACGGTAAGCGACAAATCCCACCCGAACATTTGCACTAGGGTGGTCTTTCTTCACATTGTCGATTATCGATACGATTGCGGATTTCACCTCATCAATCCACGGACCCATCGACCCCGTACAGTCCATGACGATCACGAGATCGAGCGCATTCGCCTTTGCATACTTCAGCTGGATTTCTTTCACCACTTTTTGGATTCTGCGCTCCATCTCGAATCGGATGACGCTAAAGTGCTCTATTAGCGCTATTTCACGTTCCACTGCAGCCAGTCTTCTCTTCAAAAGCTCGACATTTTCCTCGAAGCCCGAACGGCAATCACCACCATGGCTGCACCAGCCGATTTTGCACGAGAACTTAAAGAATTTTCTTTTACTCATTTGCTCGCGCAGCTTGGCCAGCTCTGCCTCAGCTGCATCTGCTCGAATTGAACTGGCCGACTTAGTCTTGTGCACATCATCACTTTCAGTCGTCTCAGTAGCCGATGCACCAGCAGCTTTCATAGTTTGTATTTTTTCACGCAGCATCGCCAACTCCGCTTCAGCTACCTTCACTCGACGCGAGCTCTTTGATCCTTCCCGCGAGGGAAACATCATACACTGCAATGCAAGCCCCTTGTACTCGTGGACCACTTCACCGCTCGGTGGAAAATTGAGGAATGAGCTCTTGTCTGAAGTTTCTCTCTGAATGAGCTTTGGTCTGGGGTTTCCTCTCTGCAGACTCTTTTCCGTGAACTCGCGACGTCTCCTAAATCCAACTGCCACGACAAACTCGATGTTATTCCAACTGCCAGTGCACTGCCAAGTTGCAACCGCGTATAAAGTTCTGATGGAGAGTAATAGCAAGCGTGTGGCGGCGTTAAGCTTGAATAAAATTATTGTGCTCTGTAGGTATTTGGTGTTCAATGACTCCGAAGCTGAGAATATGGAACCGGGCCTGTCGTGATGCAGTAACTCAACCTAGAAGTGTCCAGCAACAACTCATTTTGGAGAGAAGGTAGCGTAATGTGGAATAGTTTCAGTAGTGGACGTTTCGTAGAATCGACTCATAACGTGGTCGTTATTGTGGACATAACACCTTTTTTTCAAGCATAACGCAACCGAGCTGTAATTGCTTGAGCCGTTAAATCTATGTTTACATACTTATATAATGTAAATGTGTAAATTGGAAGCTCATAACTCGGTTCCTCAGACTCTCTCCACCTTTCTCTTTTTCCGCAGTAGACCTTGTTCAGTTGTTCTAACTGGGCTTGCACCTGGCGGAATCGCAAAAACTTGACGAACGGTTCTCTTGATTTTTGCATCTATCATCGCTTTTGACAATTTTGCCTTGGACGGGGTATTGGCGTTTACCTTCTCCTCCCTACGATGCTTCAAGTCGCCTTCAACAAGGCCCATAAGATCACACACAGGCTTTTTCAAAATCTTTAAACTGCTAACCACACCCTCGTGAAAAAGCAGAAATAGTAACAAAGTGGTTAGTAAGCTTACCTGTCGTGATGTATTCGTCTCCAAACACACACTTATCCAGTGTGAGAAGCAGCACGATACGAGCGACTACCTTCGCGGAGTCTATCTGTAGAGATTCGTTCCACGCCAACTTACAAAATTCGGGCAGAATAAAGCTCTGTAGCGCATCCTCGAGCTTATACCACTTCCAATGCTTCTAGCGAGAGGATCGGATTGGATTCATAGCTGCATATTAATTCATCCTGCTCGAAAATCTCATACGATAGAATTGCCAAGAAGTTTGCGACGGCTCGAGACGCTAATGCGGACGTCGCACGCGGACGCACGCCCAGTCTACAGAGAAATGGACGCCACCCCGAGCATTGTATCGCTATTGTAACTGGCGGAAGACCAAAAAGTAGTTTTTTCGCTGCGAGACTGACAACTTCAGTGCGTGTTGGTATTTCCAGTACATGCCTTTGCACTAGTTTCGTAGCCACGACCCATTTTGAAATAATGTGTCCCACATGCCAAGCCTCATCGTAAGTGCAGCAGCTTTATATACCGTATTTGAGATCTCCTACTTCAGAGTGATCTCCTAATTCAGACTGCCCTCCAACCAATCACATATCGAGAATGGAACAGCGCACAAGTCTAGATCTCCTAATTCAGAGTACAAAAAACATGCTAAACTGTAACTATCCACCAGCTCATTGCCAGAAATTCGCAATGGCGCGTACCGTATTTGTGATCTCCTACTTCAGACCCAATATTTTTGAAGTTGTATTGTTGCAAAATAGACAAGATCTGTACATGTACCGACGCATCTCTATCACGTATTATTTAAACAAAACAATTTAGTTATCAAGTTCTTCTTCGGGAACTACGAAGTTTTCTGTCGTGACGCGTATCCACAGCATGGCGCACTACGGGCACTTCTTCCAGCAACCGTCGTAGCAGCTCCCAATCAGGTTCCCTCCACAACCGAAAGCTTGTAGGCGTATGAAATGGCAACGCGCTTGAACTTCTTGGGAGGCTTGCCAGTGCCAGAAATACGGGTTCTCCCTTTCCGTTGGCCGGGAGTGCGCGCCATTGCGAATTTCTGGGTGGATATGTGTACAGTTTAGCACGTTTTTTGTACTCTGAATTAGGAGATGTAGACTTGTGCGCTGTTCCATTCTCGATATGTGATTGGTTGGAAGGCAGTGAGAATTAGGAGATCACTCTGAAGTAGGAGATCTCAAATACGGTACTCCCCACGCTCGGCCAACGGAAAGGGAGAACCCGTATTTCTGGCACTTGCAAGCCTTCCAAGAAGTTCAAGCGCGTTGCCATTTCATACGCCTACAAGTTTCGGTTGTGGAGTGAACCTGATTGGGAGCTGTTACGACGGTTGCTGGAAGAAGTGCCCGTAGTGCGCCATGCTGTGGGCGTCACGACATAGAAAACTTCGTAGTTCCCGAAGAAGAACTTGATAACTAAATTGTTTTGTTTAAATAATACGTGATAGAGATGCGTCGGTACGTGTACATATCTTGTGTATTTTGCAACAATACAACTTCAAAAATATTGGGTCTGAAGTAGGAGATCTCAAATACGGTACGTCTACGTCGACTCTCAAACTTTTCCTCGAAACTTCTTCACCCTTGCCTGCATTTATCATCACTGAAAAAGCTTTTTTCTATGAGCAAAAAGGCTATTTTATATTTAGGGGGGTCAATTGTACAGTATTCGAGGGGCTTCTTTGTAATGCTTTCTATGAAATGAAATTATTTGCGCTCTATTGTTTTGTATTGTCAACTATTAACGGAGCTGGCAATATTTGCAGTATTAAGGTCGCTACATGTGGTTTCGTATTGTTGACTTTAACAAGCTGACGTTATTTCCAGTGAAAGAGCAGGTATTGCTCTGTGCATTGTATGACGACATTAACCAGACGGGGTTTTCTGGCATAGATGAGATGGCGCTTTATGAGGTGCACTGTCTATTAAAATCTGACGTTATTTTCAGTATTAGAGTAGGTAGCGCTCTATTCCAGGCGATAAAATTTAGAAAATTTAAAGTTTAGAAAAAGTAAGCATATCGTACGGAGTTTTCTATGCCTTCCCGCATAACTCACTCTTTAATTTGTCTTCGATTCGCCCGTTCAAGCGTCTTGGGGTCTCTTTAGACTGCGCAGCACTCGCTATTGACCGGCTTACGACCGAGCTAGTAGCCGCAGAGCGCATGCTCGCCGTCAAGACGTCACAACATTTAGATGGGCTCCGTTCGATCTTTTTTTCCTCAGAATCTGAATCCGAATTCGATTGGGAGACGGAAAGGACATCGACTCCGGCCAAGGTCCAAAAAAATGTTTGACAATACTTCAAGTTTGATATAGGAATTCACTGGATCGGGGATAATAATTGTGGTGTCGACATGTGAAGAGCTCAGCACTGAAGCACTCTCACCTGTAGCGAAAAATGAAGTACTTGTCTACAAAAAATTCACCAGTATTTCAGCGCTAATTGCTTCAATCAGAAAGAGATACTCTCACCTCAATTGCTTGTCCTAAATTGCCTACTTGTTACGTTGGGTTGTCTAAGTCGTTATCAGATATCCGTTTATGGTGGAGCCCGAGCCTTTTTCTTACAAATTGGTGACCTGCTTTTTATTATCAAATCGATGATTCCTACTTAACACCTTGGTTCCGGACGTCGTAACTGACGACATCCATTTGTTGTTATGTCGTAACTTACGACATAGCGTAACGTTTATTAGCAAATGGCTCGGAAATGATTTTTCAATACTTTAATTAAGTATGATGCAACATATAAGCTTCAAGAGGTTTTTCAGGAACGAAAACAAAACCAGATCAGGGGATGGGAATCAGGTGGGAGGTGGATCCTTGACCGCTCATTCGAGATTTTGCTGGATGACACAGAAGCGCTGCAGTCGCCGCGAGAAACCTGCCGCCCTAGCTGTTGCCGCACACGACGTTGACTTTGGGCACTTATGGCGGCAGCTCAAGGCGGTGGGATAGACGGCCGACTGCAGACAGAGTGGACATACACAAGTCCGCCGAGAGCTCACGTATTCGTAGGTGAGCATGCGGTTGTCGACTACGCCTTCCAGTCGGGATTGTTGGCTGAGGAAGACGCGGTAGCGCTTGTAAAGATGATCAGGGAGGTGGAGATGATCAAGCCCCAGAGGCAGTCGAGAGCGATACACGGCATGATAATGCAGGGATTGATTTTGAAAACGGCATTACACCCTCCCAAATTGACACAAGTGCTCTGCTATCACAAAATACTATTGACCAGATGTTCGGATCCTCCAGTGAATCGGAGTTTGAACTTTCGCAGGCTGCGGTAATGAGAGCATTTGATCTCTCCCCGAGTGTTTTAGAAGCCGAAAAGGAAAGACGAGAGGCTGCCACAAGCTTGCACATGTTATCCGAGGCGTCGGCAATGGAGAGCCAAGGGGAAGATGAATGCACTGGACCCACCAATACCCTCACCGTTGCATAATGACCAGCTCACGTACCGCTGACAGTCACGGATGACGTGAACGTGTTGCAGGATGGGGAGAGCAGCCGTGAGAACGAGGACTATAGCTCAGACGAGGGCGATGGTGCCGGCATCTGTGATGACGACTGTGCTTCCGAAGGTGACGTGATAGACGAAGATGAATACGTTCTTTCAGACAGTGTTGCTGTCGCCATGGATGAATCTTTTCTGGCTTCACTTAATGTTGACAGCACTACACTAAGCAAAGCGGCTGAGGAGGCTCGCAAGGAAACCCTTCGAGCTATGCAATGGGCACCAGTTTCGAAGGAGTACTAAACGACTACTCATGCCTATCCCGGACTGGGTCAGGAGGAAGCTACTCCTCTGGGCTAGCTGCTCGACGTTTGGTGTTCGCCTATCCTCGGCCTTTTCTACTTCATGCCAAAAACGCTATGGGTTTCTATCGCTACTGAGACGAATCGCTATGAACTTCAGCAAGTAGACAAGCGCGCAGAATGATTGTTTGCACGCCAGTCCGGGCGCCGACGTGAGACCGCCGCATGAATTGCCAGGCGATTGAGGGCAGCTCAA